CCCCCCCCCCCCCTTCTTCTGAGTTAAAACACACATAAACTCACACGACTAGAATGCAGCCAGGAATAGGATCCTTGTTCTATATTTGTTAGATTAGCTAGGCGTTGACGGAGGGAGGCTCTAGAAACACAGTCTAAAGCAGAAATTGAAAAAATAAAATTAATCAGCTTCTAACGTTTTAACAGGGTTATCTTAATAGGGTTCAGTAAAATATTTTCGATGTAAACCACCAAATTTCATCTTTATTGTTTACGGATAAAATTTTAAAAAGTTACGGATTTCACGCTTATAGCAATCGTTGAAGAATGGGGAACCTCTCTCGCTAATTTCGAAAAAAAGTTTCTCCCCTTCCGCAGAAACCCACGTATTCTAAATTTCAGAAGTGCACTAAATACTTATTTAAATATTTTTTCCTCAATTTAAATCCACAAAGCCGCCATATGCAAATCTCGTACCTATTTTATTATTCAGTCTACTCTATACAGTCTACAGTCTGACATCATGCATCAGGGTATTATGATTCTTTTTGAAAATGAAAAAATATTTATGAAATAGACAAAGGAATTGGTGTTTTGCCACAAACTCAAATTTTCTAATCCATATATCTGTGTAACCTGATGATGGAAACCTTTGGTATTTCAAACTTAGACTATTTTATCACAGAATTCATAGTTTGAAATATTAAAGGTCTAGGATACTGGGTTGTAAAGATAAAGGGGTTAGATAATTAGAGTTTGTGGCAAAAACTCAGTTCCTTTTATGCAAATTTGTTTTTGTACTTATTCACTTTTCTTGCACTTGAATATGTGTAGAGAATCATTGTTTTTAGCCAACAGAGATTAGTAAATGCTTAAAAATGTATAATTTGGTGGAGCTTTGTTTTTTGCTCATGATTGTTTCTGATGTTTGTCCTAGGCGATTTTCAAGAGGTGAGTAAAAATGGGGTTCTCTGCGGAAAACAAATTTATGAAACAAACCAAAAGTGTTAAGATATTAAGTAATGGGAAAAATTGTATAATTTGTGTGGCTGTAAAACCAGAATTCTCTTTAAAAATTCAAGAAGTTCTTTAAATTTTAACTATTTTTTTTACTAAGAAACTAATTTTATCTTGCACAATATTCTTTGATACCATTACCGGCCCACTTCAATATTAACAACTTAAAATGTTGAAACTTTGGTCTGTATTATTTTCCAGAATACATAGAAGGTGTAAACCACGTTTTGGAGAAGTCTTGAAACCTTTTCGTACGCAGTGTCATTAAATAGCTTTTGAAGATCAAAAACGATATTTTTGTCTTCTTTTAATTATAATGTATAATTGAAAACAATGTGGCTCAAATCTGTTTTGTGTAAAATTAAAGTTTAAAGTTTGAGATTTAAATATGGTTAAAAACTGACATTTTTTTTCTGTAAAAATATGTTGTACTTTTCAAATTTTGAGCCACATTTGCCATTAAAGTAGAGAATTAATGAAGATTTGTAAAGCAATAAAAAGATTTTTTTTGAATTCGTTATTATCGTAATTTGTCGACCAAATGTTTATAAAATGGGTTCATCGAGTGATATGGAACTCAATCAATTTATATATATATTATAGTTCCACGTATTGGGTATCATATGGAACTCAATCAATTTATATATATATTATAGTTCCACGGATTGGGTATCATAAAATTCAGCAGCATAGTCAGTTAAACCCTCAGTTCAACACTAAACTAAGGTGGGCTAAACCTTTTTTTTCCAGATGAAGGATTTTCCCCTGTAAAAGACTCACTGATAAGTTCTTTTCCATAGATCTGATTTTGTTTGTCAGGCGAAGCTTGAATTTGCAATTAGCAGTGTATCGAATATTCAAAACTATTGTTATTGAACATACATCACATAAAAAGTCAAAGAAGTACAGATTAATATTGATAGTTTAAAATTAAGAAAGTGAATAAATAAAGCATCAGATGTAAACAAATATCTATCTCGTCTAATTCCAAAAAATGTGGCGCTTGGTTTTAATAGTTAGGGCCGCAACCTAAAATTTTTTTCATGAATTTCCGGAAATTTTAGCTACTGTACCAGACAAAACTTCGAAACACTTCAAAACTACAACACTTCAACATTTCAAGCCTTCAACACTTCAACACGTCCAACACTTCAACACTTCAACACTTCAACACTTCAACACTTCAACACTTCAACACTTCAACACTTCAACACTTCAACATTTCAACCCTTCAACCCTTCAACACTTCAACACTTCAACACTTCAACACTTCAACACTTCAACACTTCAACACTTCAACACTTCAACACTTCAACACTTCAACCCTTCAACACTTCAACACTTCAGCACTTCAACACTTCAACACTTCAACACTTAAAAACTTCAAAGTTGGAAAACTTCAAAACTCCTAAACTCCTTACAACTCCATTAATAAATACAAAACCATTTAAAAATATGATTTTTTGTTATTTCAGTCAAAAAATGTCTGCTATTACAAATATCAAAGGGTGCAATTATGCATTTGAATCTTTCATATCGCTCTTGAATGTCCTTGTTGTGGTTGGGTGTCCATGGTATGTATCTATTGCTATATAAATTTTGATGAGAACAAAAAATGGTCGCATTAATATCTGTTTTGTAATCGTTACAATCTGAATACAGTATTAGTACATGAATATTTAAAAATATGTCTGCACAGCATAAACTGGTTTTAGGGCTCTGCCAGGATTAGACGAGATGATACTCTATCAAATATATGTATTACCCAGCCATAACGGTTTTAGACGTCTTGGACTTGCGCTCAAGTTGGGAAATTGGACGTCTTCAAGACTCCTATTTTATACTTATAGAACGCGTCTTGGTAAGACCGAAAAGACGCTGTTTAAAACAGTGCTCAGAATTAGTGGAGTCAAATAGCTAATGGAAAAGTGAAAACTCACTGCAGGGGTCCGTTGCAGTTCGCCCGTATTTCTCTCTGTCTGTTTGTTGCGGCCCCACATGTTTTTCCTGGTGCAGCTGTTTTCAAGCTGTTCTCCACCCCCCCTCCCTAAATCTATCCTAATCCTCGTCTCAACAGGACGTTCGAGGATGTCTTCAAAAAATTCTTTAATATGTCTTAATATTGGCTCTTCAATTCATGGCGTACATAGGGTCCCATCCCCACCCAAAAAATTTCTCTTCACAGGACGTCCTGAGAGTGTTTTAAAAAGCATATTTAGGACATCTTACGACTTCCTGACTGGTTCTTCACAAGACGCTGTCAAGTCAGGGCATACACAGGGTTTAACTTTTAGGGAGGGTAAAAATGGCCCCCTCCAAAAAAATATTTTTTTAGGGAAACCTGTCTACACCCTGCCTTGACAGCATCTTGTGAAGAACCAGTCAGGATCGTCCTAAATATGGTTCTTGATGACGACCCTAGGGTTGCCTTCACTAAATATATATTATTTAAAAATTTATTTACATAATTAAATTCTAATAAATTGTTACATGAGATTTTCTCTCTGTAATCCTCTCTGCAGTTCCATAACCACCACCGGGCAAATCTATATAATTTAAAGTATTTTTTAAATTGCATTATCATTAAATTGTTATTTTTATTATTTGTATTTATTATCAATAGTTCAAATATCAGATTACAAATATTTCTAAAAATTATTTTGGCCAATAATAATTTCCATTAACAGGCCACCCCCCCCCCCTTAGAATTTATTTATAAAAATCCTTATATTTTATAATTCTTAATGTCTCCCTTCATCGTTATATTCCAATATTTTCCAAGAAATAATTAGATATTTAGGCACATACAAGGCCATTTTCTCTGTAAAATTATGAAATTGAAAAATAAGTAAATTTTAAGTAAATTCTGGGCTTGATTCATTGCAGACTGGGTCTTCGTCATAGCAGAATCTGCCTAGTCGGAATGCTCTTAGGCCAGATCAACGACTTTGTCTTCTGACAAAGTATTAATTTCATATATTGCATATAATTTTTAAGGACATTAAACTTTAGTTCAATTAAAACAATTATTTTTTGATTTACAAAAATTCAGTATTTTATTTAAGTCCTATAATAAAGTGGGCAGATTCTCAAAAAAAATAGTTTTATCTTGGAATTCTTACGTTGAACTAATTATTTCCAAATAATCTTCTCCATCAGGATCTTCCATGTTGTCCCATATGGCAACATAATATCATGCAGTCATTCTTCTCTGGAATAAGCTGAACTAAACTAATTAGTTTAACTTTACTTAAATTCTAAACTAGACAAAAAAGGATATGTTGACTTAGTTTACCGATAGGGTAAAATGGTTTCAATAAATTCATTCTTGGGACTTTTTCAGATCTTTGATTGTAAAGTCTCACAACTATTTTCGGTCCAACGTAGATCCTCCTGCCGCAGATATGTTAAAAATGGTAATTATAAAAAAGTTACGTTAAAATTTTCTTTTTAACCTCAGCTGTAAAATTTCGGATTATGAAAAATATGACCTGCACTAAGATTTTATTTTCAAACCTCTAGAAAAAGTATTGCAGGTTTGGGATCAAGAGTCTGCAAAAATGTCCCAAAGCTGGGCCGAAAAATGCAGAAAATTAGAACATACGCCTTCCCATGGACGATTCACTAAAAGGTCAAAGAAAAAACCCTGAAAACATTTTTACAAATTATACAATCCCAACAAATTTTATGTTTTAAAAACTTATAAAGAGTACATTCGTTTAACTTTAGGAACATAGACGTTAAACGTTTCAGGAGAATCTTGAATTTTGTAAATATACTTTTATTTTGAGGTTTGGATCTTGCGGACAAAATATTCTAATTGCGTCTCATCCTGTTCCTTGGTTCTTTGTAGTTGAATCTTGGTGGTTAGAACGTAAACAATTTACATTTGGTCAACGGGGGGAAAATGATTTAAATCAGGTACATCCTTCGTTTGCAATAACTTAAAGCAAAAAATAATTTGCAATGAGGAAAAAATGCAAATGATTGTCATATTTTTAAGCTTCTTAGATACAAATATGTTTTTTATTAATTGATATGAAGATTTTTTTGAAAAAATGTGAAGAAAGTATGAAATGACTTAATTTATAATCAATTGAAACAGTTAATATTGAAAACAACTGGTCTAGGAATTTTCAAAATGTTGTGCTCTTGATACATAATTTCAATTCCTGGAAATAAACTGAGAGTTTAAAAAAGCAAACTTTTTAAAATTTTAAATGCACTATGTAAATCCAAAAAAATGCAAAAACTTAATTTGTCTTTTTTAGGTGGGACACTATACTCAGCTTGTATGGAATGCTTCACACAGGTAACTGAATCATTATGTGAGCAACGTTGTCATACACTGTTTTTGTTAATCTCGTTTTATTTATTTTTTAATGTAACTGAGTAATTATAGCTGTTTCTTTGATTTGAGTTTTGAGCAACCATATTCACAATATCAAAAAGTACTAATTATAGAAAATATTAACTGATTCATATTTCTTGGCAGTTTTGATTTAGCTTACCCGGCCAGGTTGGATGCAGGTATTGGTTAACTATGAAGTGAAGATTAGATATATATTTTATCCTTTCCTAAAAATATTGTATCTTTCATTAAAAATCTGATCAATATTTGCAACTTAATGTTGTAGACATTTGATAATTCGAGCTATGAATTCTACTAGCTCAAAAAGTCAAAGTATTGATTATTACTAAATTAAATTAAATAACTTGCCGAATTAGGTTTAAAATTTTATAGTACAGAGATTAGATATTTACAGGTTGATGCGAGTAATCAGTTTCATATTATACATTAATAACGAAATAGATTACTGAATTTTGGCGTATCAAATTTCTTAATATCTCACTCACAAATTTAAAGTATATTTGTTTTACAGTGTTGGCTGTGGTTTTCACAAATGCTCCAATTCTTCAAGTGGAGAGAAATATTTTACCTACGTCTGCAACTACTGTCCAGCGTAAGTTTTAATTAATATATTGAAGTTAAATCTTTAAGAAAAAGGAGCATTTGTAAAATCGATATTATATTTATTAATTGCAAAATAAAATTTGAATGCAGAGGAAATTTTATGAACCGGCTTGACTTCCCTTACACCAGAGGAGAACATTGCTCTTTATGTTCAGATCACTGTATCTCAAGGTATTTTATACTGGAATTTTAAAATGTACCTATTTATACATACACAAGACTTTTAGGGCGCTTCGCGCCCCATTTACTATTAACAATTTTAGCTTTTAGCTGTTGCTCTGTTTTTACCGTTCTAAAATTTTAGCTGATTTGTTGGGTGTATTTTCAAAAATAATAGGTGTCGAAACTTATTTCCAATCAAAGATTTTCAATGTTGATGGTCTGTAAAACTTGCCTATAGAGTCATGGTAATTGCAAAAAAAAAAATGAACACTATCGGTTCAGCTTTTTTACGTTTATTGGGTACAAATATACAAACAAACAAACATCCAGACAAATAAAATACATATATAATAGATAATTTATCTTATGATAATTTAAGTTCTTTGAAAATCTGTTTTTGTTTAACTTTATATCTTGCGTTCTGATTTTTCTTTTGATTCATCCTTTTATCTAATAGTAATAGTTTATTCTCAGATATAGTTACATCCTTTCCCTTTTATCCCTTGTTCATTTCCTAAATGAATGTTTAAGCACGGGAAAGCTGTGTACAAATTATTGTCCTGTTGCTGATTTCTGGACTAATTGTCAGGTTAGACACTCCAGAATCATAATCTAGGCCACAGAACGAAAAGTAAATCAATTTTCTTCGAATAAATTTATAGATTGGTGAAGATTGAGATGGAAGATTGTGACTATTTCTTTTCTGTAGATAAATGTCTTGAATTTTTTTCATGATCATCTATTTTTCTAATAAAAAAATTTTGTTGATTATCACTAATTGTAAAGAATGAATGTTCAACTCTTTATATCATCTTCATGAAATAAAAACTGTTGTATACTGATCAAAACTGATAACAAATTCTTGCTCTGTTCCATGTCATAGTTAATTCAAATGTTCATTACTATTTTCTATCTCTGCTTCTTAAATATTTATGGACCTTATCGTTCCTCCACAGTCAGCAATTTAATGTCATGCACTGGCTGTATTTGATTTACAGTGCCGGTTTACTTTAAAAACTAATAAAAATAAACACTAATATTCTACAAAAGAAATTCTTGAAACATGTATTGTTAGCCACACTTTAAACTTCTCCACTGCAAATGAAATATTTCACAAGGGATGAAACAAAAACAATTTGATGTTTAGCTTAGCTAAAGCCTAATAACACCCTTTTAATTTTACTTACTTATCAGTCCTTTTTGAGTTTGCTAATCTCAAATTCAGGATTTAATGGATGAAATGGAGAATGAATGTGGTAAAGAAGTAGAAAAATGTGGAATGTGTAACAGACGATATTATCAGAGGAGTTGTAGAGCTACATGTAACTGTAGAAGAAAATTGCATAGACATTTCTAGCTGATTATAGCAATGCTTTATAAATTCATATTAGTACAGAGTGAGCAAAAAAACATGGATTAGCATTTTTTAGTCCCAATAACATTTTGAAAAGACTTGAAAAAGTGCTTTAGGTTATAGTTTTTAATTTAGAAGTAGTCGTTAATCATTTTTATTATTCAATTCAAATATATATTGCATTGAGAAAAAAATTTGCTTAAAATTATAATAATACAATTCTACAAATGAAAAATTATTTATCAAAAAGGCCCCAATTTGATGCCATGCAAAAAAAAATTCCTTACTTCTTCTGTTCATCAAAGCTGCTTTCAATCATAGGGCCGGGAAAATGCTGCAATCTTTCTTTCTAGGTTTCTCTCCATAGAGCATGGTATAGGACTACATTTACACCTTGTATTTTAGAAAGCCCAGAGAAAAATCTAAGAGGGTTCAAATATATAAAAATTTTTTTTTAAACATTATTGAATAGCTGAAGTTAACGGAGAGATTTAGAATAATAAACATGGTTTTACTTCAAATGAAAGGGTTGGACAACAAACACTCAATTTAACGACCCCATTTTAAATTGTTAACTATACACAAGAACACATTTTCAATCGATTATAACTATTAAAACAGCTGAAAAACGGTAATCTCTCTTTTTGGATCACCCTGTAATTTTGAATCCATGGTAAAAGTTAAAATCTTGATTTCTAATTTGATCTTTATCCTATTTATTTCTTTTTAATAAATCTGTTTTTCCCATTTTAATTTTCTTATTTCATTTATAATTTCTTTAAACATCGACCTTTTTTCTTTTCCTATCGGGTTTGTTTTTTCTTAAATATTTTTTAATTCTCACTCACTTTTTTTCTCATCCTTGCATTCATAAAGGTGTTCTCTGTGATTTGCATTTAATTGATTAATTTATTCAAAGTGCATAATAAACTAGATGCTGAACATACTTTTTTTGGTTAACTTTAACAAAGACTGCATGTTTTTAACAATGGTAAACATATGTCTATTGTCTAGTCAGGCAAATAACACACAAACCCCAAATCTTACAGATCTTAAAATAATGTAATCTAGCAGAATTCAAGGTTTTAACAATAAAAGGTCTACTGCATCAGGCTGCAATCATAAAATGATACAAAATTTAAGTTTGAAGCAAGTTTTCCTTTAAGTTCCTTTGTCCTTTAATGAATGTAAAAACTGTCAGTTAATATTTTAACAAATAAACTGAAATTGAATATTTGATCTATAAGCAAAGAAAATTTATTTTGAATTTCACTTATTCTATAATTCTTACACTTAGTTTAAGAGATTTTTTCTTCCTATGTTTCTAACCTTAAACTTTCAAAAGCAATGAGCTTAAAAACTTTTAGATATGAATTTGTTTAACATAGACCTGTGTCCTGCATCTTACTGTACCCAAGCGAAATGTTGTCTTCCAATCCTTCATCTTTGTATTGGGTCAGGTATAAATCTGTAGCTCCAACACAGTCAAAGTCAAACAATTCCAGCCATATTGAAAAGTAAACCTTTGAACTCCTGAAACATTAAAAATGCAAAATCTGTGAATAATTCAACTATCCATAGTAAAATTTCACTTTAAACAACTGGGGTTTTTATTTCAGAAGTACTAACTCAATATTTTGAACAGACCTAATAATCTACCTCTGTTTTCTTAAATCACTCCTTGATAGCCCAGATTTGCTATGCTCTATTAGTAAGTTACTAGTTATTATTGATAATAAAAGACAATCATGTTAAATTATTATTTATAGTCACTGAATCTGTATTCTTGTAGGTTTGAAATATATTAATTTGAAATATATTAATTGTAACTACAAGTTTCTCTGGTACCAAGGAGTTCATTGAACAAGAAATCGTCCATGATTATATTGAATATTTTAAACTACTGCAACCGAGGCAAATCAAGTACGGACATTGTCACTCTTCTCCAACAGAATCCTATCCATGGAGTCATCATTCCTATCCATGCCAGGAACCTCAGAAAACATTTGCTGAAGACTTGTGAGACCTGTCCCCCAAGATTAAAACCCTACAAGCCAACTTAGAGATTATCCAGCAGTTCTACAAATTGGAGGACCTCCACAGAGTCGCCCTCACTCAAACACTGATCCAGAACATCATGAGAAGCCTTCCCATGGAAGTGAGGTCATCTTTCAATGATCAGTTCATGGAGTTCATAAGCCAATAACCTGTCAATGTCCGATTTCTTGCCACTTTCTTGTTCTTCGCCTAGTATGTGAACAAGAAAGAAAAGAATTCTCAATCGTACCCAACTTTTTTTGATCTCAACTACTCCCCTACAAATATAGGGATCAAACCAGTTTGGTACAGACCTTCCATGGCCAAGACAAAACCTCCCCATCCTTCCTCCAGAACTTCTTCTGAACCTCCCAGACGCCCTTGCACCCTATGCACCACAAAAGAATTCCAATCTGACCACTTCCCCCTCAACTTCCACTGCAGGGTCGCCAAGCTAAGTTCCCCCTGACATCCTGAAACTCATCGCCGACAATAAATTTTGCCCTAGCTGCACCAAAGCACATGACCCAGTCTTCCAATGCAAATTATTCTTCCACAACACGACCTCAAAGGTGTTTCCCAAAGGATGCAAGCATAATGGGCTCCCTGTCCACTGCAGCACCTGCATGCACAGCAACCGGGCCCCCCACTATCTCTTTATCTAAGGTGGGCTCCAAAGGTCTATTCCCTTGGTGGAGAACATTCCGATGGAAGCTTTCTCTGGGTATTCTGTACGACACTAGCTGTCAACTAAGTCTGATCTCCCAATGGGCCAACTGAACCCTTCAATGCTCCATGTACTCCCAAGGGACCTTCTCCAGGGTGAGGGTCATGATCTATGCAGGAGAGGGCAAGATAATCCTCACTACCAAGGTCAGGTTGAAACTGCTCGGGAAGATGTTATAATGTTAAAACATTAAAAGTTAAAACTTATTAGCTGACATACATTAAATACGCATTTAGTTCTACAATTATATATTCACAAATATTTCACTATAGTTCATCATGACTATTTTACAGTCACAGTTTTCACTTTCCCCAAAAATTTTTTTGACAAATTAGTTTTTATTTTTCAAGAGGGTCATTGGATAGACTTATGCCCCCCCCCCCCTTCGACGTTTTTTCCCGCATAAATTTTTAACTAGTTTTAAACTTTCCCTTGGGCCATGTGAGTTGCCTCACAAATATTAGGCTCTGTTGGTTCAGCTGTTTGGACGTTTATTGAATACAAACGGACAAACAAGGGTGAATTTACTCCGGATTGAATGCTGGGAGCAAGATTAAATTTACTCTGGGTAGAATGATTTGAGCAATGTTTACTCCGGGTTGAATACTGGGAGCAAGATTAAATTTACTCTGGATTGAATGCTGGGAGCAAGATTAAATTTACTCTGGGTTGAATGATTGGAGTAAGAACATGTTTACTCTGGGTTGAATGCTGGGAGCAAGATTAAATTTACTCTGGGTTGAATGATTGGAGCAAGAATATGTTTACTCCGGGTTGAATGCTGGGAGCAAGATTAAATTTACTCTGGGTTGAATGCTGGGAGCAAGATTAAATTTACTCCGGGTTGAATGCTGGGAGCAAGATTAAATTTACTCTGGGTTGAATGCTGGGAGCAAGATTAAATTTACTCTTGGTTGAATGATTGGAGCAAGAATATGTTTACTCGGGGTTGAATGCTGGGAGCAAGATTAAATTTACTATGGGTTGAATGCTGGGAGCAAGAAAATGTTTACTCCGGGTTGAATGCTGGGTGCAAGATTAAATTTACTCTGGTTTGAAAGCTGGGAGCCAGTTACATTTTGCCATAAAAACATTTGCGATAATTACCTTGCAATAAATACTTTTTCCATAAGTAACACTTGCCATAATTATGTTTGCCATAATTTTCTAACTTTTACAAAAATATAAATCTAACTATTTTTTCTAAAAAATTGCAAAATTTTCTCATTCAAATTCCCAACTTTAGTTTTCTAACAATGCTGCTGGGAGAGATATAAACACTAATCTGGAGGAAAGAGCTTGGTGAAGAATCAATGACAGTACAATACTTTTCCAATAGAGCTGTAATTTAACCTTATATACTGCTCATGAGCTTATTTGCTAATTGTAGCCACAAAAGTTATAATTTTAGTTGTTCAATAAAATCAATAAAAAAAAGTATACATGTTAATTATAACTAAAATTAATTGTAATTATGTGTTGTAACCATTCTGGCAAGTGTAACTTATGGCAAGTGTTACAGATGTGCCAGGGTTATTAAGGAGGAATGGAAACAGTTGGAACCAGGTTCTTTATTAACCTTTCTTCTTTTTTATTGTAAATTCTTTTCATCATATTTCTTCTTTAAACACAAATATATATATTAAGATAGAAAGTATTCATTTTTACGCTTTACTTATAATGAACCAGTAAAATTCTGTATGTAAGTATTTACAAATTATAATCATTCTGATCACTTCTAAATTTTACGATTCTTTTTACAAATATAAAGGAATTGAGATGGGATTAACTAGTTCATGAGTACAGAGATCCGACATAACGTAGGTCGCATGGTCATTATTTGTAGGTCAGATAATCATCGATTGTAGGTTGGATTTACACATTTGTAGGTCGGATGTACACATTTGTAGGTTGGATGGTCATTAATTGTAGATCAGAAGTACACAGCAGGTTGGATGGTCACTATTTGCAGGTCCGATAGTCATTGATTGTTATGTCAGATTTACACTTTTGTAGGTCGGATATATGCATTTGTATGTCGGATGTACACATTTGTAGGTCGGATAGTCATCAATTCTAGGTCGGATATATACACATTTGTAGGTCGGATGTACACATTTGTAGGTCGGTTGGTCATCAATTGTAGGTCGGATTTACACTTTTGTAGGTCAGATATATATAGTACGCATTGATATGTCATGGATCGGTCATCGGTTGTAGGTCGGATGTACACATTTAGGAGGTCGGATGGTCGTAGGTTATATGGTCAGTGGTCATCAATTGTAGGACAGATATACGCATGGTAGGTCTAATGGTCATCGATTGTAGGTCGGATGTACACAGTAGCTCAGATGTTCACTATTTGTAGGTCAGATGGTCATAGCTTAAGTTGGTCGGTTGTAGGTCCATGCAAAATTGGAAATCCAATCTACCATTGAATGATCATCCGACCTACAAATGTGTACATCCGACCTTATACAAATGCGTACATCCCCAACAAACAAAAACCCGTGAAGAACACAAGATTATTTGGTGTATTTTACACGAGTGACCCGTCAATAATTCACGTGTTATCGAGGTGAATGTCGACGATTTGATCACGGGTCTAGGAACGAGTTTTTACACGGTGAAAACTTGAGTTTATTTCACGAGATGAACACAGGATTTTTACATGGGAAAATTATTTTTCTCCCATCTACTTAAATTACATTTTTAAAAACCCCAGGAAAGGGGGGGGATATATAATTGATTTTTGATATATAAATATATTATAAAATAAACTGTGTAAAAGATATATAATTATTACAAAATGTTTAGAAACTAAACATTTTAGTTTATATCTTTTACATTATACATCTTGAACATGTAAACTTTAAACTTTTCTTATCAACAAGTGATATTTCAAGTCTAAATAATGTTCAATTATGTCAGTTAAAATATTTCATTTTACTACAATAAACTTTTAGTTTCTAAAAGATAAGCAGAGACACGTACACCAAGTGGTGTGGTTTTGCAACTCTATTAAAAGTGAAACATGAAGTTCTTCCCGTGATATCTCAAATATTTTACACGTGATATTTACAAGAATTAAAATCTAGATATTCTGGCATTACATTACTCATGATTCACACGTTGGGAATGCCAGATCTTGCACTGGTATCTTTGCTACGAGCACAACATGTGAAAAAACGACAAGAATTGAACTATAGAATTATCTCAAATATTATTACTACAGGGGCGCATACAGGGGGGGGCGGGGGACATTCGCCCCCACCTGACATTTCGAGGCAAAAAATGTTCCCAATTTGATAAATCGTATGTGTTTTTCAATTTCAAGCTTTTTGATTTTTTACTTAATGGAAATCTTGACTTTCTTTTCTTCAGTTTAATTTAAAAATCAATGTTCCTTAATCAATATTCATTTAACAAAATTGTAATATTGTTACTAATTTTCATGCATTTAAGTATAACGAGCGGGGGAAGGCAGGCGGCCATGAGCACCACTATTTCCCCTTCCGGGCCACATATTAGCTTTTTTCTCTTCCGGCAGCCATGAGCCACCACTATTTCCCCTTCCGGGCCACCACATTTGACTCTTCCGGGCAAAACTACTTTTTTAAATGGTATATTTAGGGCCTTTAAAGTGTGATTTTTAAAAAGTTCATTAAAGATATGATAAATAAGGAGTTAAAAACAATAACATTCAGAGGAAAATGCCGAAACATTCTTAAAGCGAAAGTTGAAACTAAAAAACGTAAATTTTTTCTAGTGCTGAATGTAGCATATTTATAGATTTGTTTTTTAAACTGAGGAACAATAAAGAAAGCTCTTAACATTGCACACCATATGACCATAAACAGATGTCAATATGGTCTTATTTCTAAGAAATAACCGATTTAATGTTTCCTTTTTTTGGCTGATTACCAATTGAGGTGGTGGAGATTACCAATTGAGGAGCGCGCTTGCCGCAAAACACATTTGGGTGGCGGTGATTACCAGTTGAGGAGTTCTGGGGTCCCCCCCCCTCGTCCATTCTTAGCACTCCTATATTTCCGATGAATTAATGTCTGTATGAAATCTACCTGCCAGTACCCGCCTCTTCAGTGGTTTATGCAGTTCTATTTCAACCATGAAAGAAACCAGAATTATTCTTGAATCTTGGAAGAGAAAACTCGTCGATAAGAATGTAAATAATTAAATCAAAACATTAAATGTCAACGAGCATAAATTATTAACTATCACAAAACCTTGCCGAGTTATATTAATTAACTGAATTCGGTACAATATATTTCTTTATTGTAAAAATGTGCTGAATGAATTTTGAAAATCCAGACTTTTCCGGTTTTAAAGTGACTTTAAAGTAAATTCAAGTTTGTTGATAGGATAAAATGATTGAAACGGACCGTCCGTTGACGTCAGGGGTAGAAATGGCGGAAGATTATATAAATGGAAATACAGAAATAAAAAGCAAAAGTGGAAACTTAAAATTTAGGTAAAATTAGCATTGCAGAACTGATTACTCTACCTCTGATTTAGAATGCTTATATCTTTGCAAGCACTTTGTTGTAAATCTTTAATAGTTTGTATTAAGCCTGCCAGATCAAATCTTTAATAGTTTGTATTATATAAGCCTGCCAGATCAAATCTTTAATAGTTTGTATTATATAAGCCTGCCAGATCAAATCTTTAATAGTTTGTATTAAGCCTGCCAGATCAAATCGAAAAGCTTTAAGTAAGCAAAGGTTTTAACTTCCAGGTTGCAAAATTGAAGAAAAGTTTCATGCGAGTGTTTAATTGAATACACTTTGTTTGGGAAAAAGTAAAGGGTTATTTTCAGAATTATTTACAAAAAACTATTATCTATGATATAACGTATTTTAGACATAGATGGGGTCCATCACACAATGGAGCAAAGGAGCTTGCTAACCTCTATACAATTGGTTTGTTATCATATTTTTTTGAGAGGCTGTTTTTATTTATTCTCTAAATTCATCCATAATTATAATCAACGCATATATCGTAGTCTTACTTAGATGAAATATTACAAAGAAAGGGTATTTTAAAAATGTCCGATCCATATCCACCCCGAACTAACCAGATAGAGAAGCATTCGATTTCTTTTATTTGAAATCAATTGTTTTTTAGTCTATAATTCAACACTCTTTAAACTTACAGATTTTTTTTATTTATGCTTTTTATTCAAAATGCATTTGCCAACAAAATATTATCTCAGAAAAAAGGCTATAAAATTATGTAAAAGGGGTCAAACTGTGATCGAAAGTCACAGCTTTCTGAAATATTGACAGAACCGTTAAATCCACGTGTATCTATAGCATGGCTTCTCAATTTGTATCTATCTTAACTTTAAGTATGTTTACGTTATACACATTATATTCATCATTTATATTTGTCTAAAGAAAAATTACATTATGCAATATAAAAGTTTACAATTTAATACTAATACTCTTTTCTCTGGATATTACATTTTATGATTGACTGGGTTTGCCAAAAAAAACAGATGCAATACAAGACTTTTTGCAAGAGTATAGTTTAGTTATTCAGAGATGGTTTTCAGAAATGGAGTTTCTTGGTCCCAGTCTAGCGTTTTTCGTTTTCTAAAAATGTGGTATGATGACAGCACTGCAAGGCTTGAAAGATTTTCGCACATTGCTTTGAAGCTAACACCGGGTTTGCAGAACTTATACAGTGTCTTTGGATTTGCTTTATTTGATGGTTAGATATATCCTCTTAAGCAGATTTCCAAAGGGTAAACAGACACATCCCTAGAATTGTTATATCTGTGATAAAATGTTCATAATTGTTCAACTTTTGAGTGTTGGCATTTTTTATATTTGTTTCCAATGGGACAGTAAGCTCAAAAATATCCATCTTTTCCTCCATTCTATCGATAATTACTAGATCCATGGTTTCTGTGCGGTCACAAGGAGGTGAGGATGTCGGGATGTCGGCATACATCAGAAATCGGTCAATATCAATTAATCCAGTGATATATTTAATAAGATTGTTGTGCCTCCAAGTATATCTTTTTTGGTGTAGTGCAACCTTGTAGACATTCAAAATATGGTTTATTATGTTATACACAACATATTTTAATATTTCATTCAGAGGAAAGAATATTGGCTTTCTACCGTCTTCACCTGCTTCACTTAGTAATATTATATTGTATACAGAAACAAATTATTAAAAGATACTCTAAAGGACTGTAAATTTAAAATTTAAAATTCTTTCTATAGACAATCACACGTCAGTTTAGGAGACAACGATTTTAAAAAAGGTCATGTTAATTTTCAAAAAATGGCGCTAGAAATGTTTATGATTATTTCTGTTCCTAATTATTTTTCTAAAAAAGTACACTAATACAAGCAACTACTAGTAATCAAAATGTAGCATCTCACATAGTTTTTAGATTGGATGTATAAAAAAATCTTATAAAAGAAGATTGACTGACAAGAAACACTTTTGAGGGAATATACAGTAATACGCAAAAAATGGAGCCCAAACTTTGATTATACATATGAAAGTACGAGATGACATGGACACGCCTCAACACGGAAACTGATCTAAAATTAGCGGAAACCGATCAAATTACTCTTTTTTGATGCCTTTCCACGATTTCTTCGAATTTTTTTTTAATACCTCAAATGTCAGATTTTTAGGAGTTTCCTCTTTGTTTTAGATTATTTTACCAAAATTTTAGATCCATTTCCACTTTATTTCAACGAAATATTTTCGAGGGATTTCCCAATATTTTTGAGAAGATTCCCAATATTTTAGGTCCGTTGCCTCATATTTTTGATTTGTTCTCGCTTTTTTCAAAAACTAATTGATCTGTTTCCTCATATTTTAGATCTGTTTCCTCAAATTTTAGGTCCGTTTCCTCATATTTTAGATTCGTTTCCGCTTTTTTCAAAAACTTTAAAAATTTCAATTTGTTGTTCGGTTTCCTCAAATTTTAGGTCCGTTTCCTCATATTTTTGATCCGTTTCCGCTTTTCCCAACAACTATGAAGATCGTAAGTTGTTCATTGGTTATCTCAAATTTATGGGCCGTTTCCACTTTTTGCAAAAACTTAAAAAATCTCTTATATGTTGACCAGTTTTCGCTTTTTACAAGAACTTAAAAAATCTACGTTTTATCAATTTTCTCACAGTTCACTCAGTTTTGAAATTTAATCCATTCTTGCGTTTAAATCAATTCTTTTTTAAAAACTTGTGAAACGAGAGATGGGTTGTAGGGTCACCATGACCTCTGGAGCCTCCTGATACACAGAATTACCTCCAAACCCCACAAAACTGTCTCCGCACCTCGATCGTTATCTTTCCAAGCCTCCATACCCAGCATTTTGGTCTCCAATAAAAGATTTTGGCTTTTACATTTACAAATAAAACCTTTTTTCAAATAATCTCAACATGATAAAATAGTTTTTAATAATCCATAAATAATTTGTTTGAAAAGTCTATTTAAATTGAAATTAAGACTTCAATTTATGTTTTCTAAATTTCACAAATTCCCTAACTTATATGAATAACTTTATCAGTTTTATATAATGATGGAAAAATTTGATATTACTAGAAATTCAAGACGCTTCGCGCCCTTCTTTCTAGCCTTAGAGGGCGCTTCGCGCCCATCTCCTAAATTAATTGTGAACATGTTCTCTTTGTGTACATCGTAAAACAAAACAAAAATAATTCGCGGATTTTCACAAAAAATTTCGCGGATTTTCAAAATTTTAAAAAATTTAATGACGATCAAATTTTGATTGAGACAAATATTTAAAATTTCCATTATTCATAAACCTTCCCTGGAGTCCCTAGATATCCCACAAAAAATTTGGGCCCGATCGGTTCAGCCGTTTTGACGTTTATTGGATACAAACAAACAAACAAACAAACAGACAAACACCAAGACAAGCCAAATTTATACATAGATATAACAGTTGTATCTTGTATGAATTAAACTATATTAGCACCAACAAAATAGTTTGTGAAATACTTGAATTTGTGCTTTATCATATGCTTTTGGTAAAAATTTTAACTAGAAAACAAGTCAAGACCAATTGAATAAATTAATATTTGATTTTTGTGGATGAAACGTTTCCTCAAACAATTTTTGGTTGGTTAGTTATAAAAATAAGCAAAACATAAGCATAAGCAGACATTAAAGCAGACATTAAAATGCAAAAGGCATTGAGAGGGCATAGAAGCAATTCTGCATATCAAAAGGCTCCGAAGGTCTTTCCACAGGGCTTATGGCAGCTCTGCAACCCCTCCACGTTAAACAATATGTTGGAATGGAGAACAGACAATTGAAACAAACAGTTGGAGAACTTAATGGTCTTATTCACTTTCTGCGTTTACACAGACAGCAAAATAAATGATCCAAAAAGAATTGAAATAAATACACTAATATCTGAAGTGCCCGGCGTTGCCCGTAATCTAAAAAAATATATTATTTTTATTTTACAAATTCTTGTTATTCTCTGCAATTCGTACTGAACTGCCCGGCGTTGCCCGTAACTTAAAAAAATTATGTTATTTTAATTTTACAAATTCTAGTTATTCTCTGCAATTCGTACATTTTTCATAAGAAACCAAAAAATTAAATATACTTAAATTTTTTCGAATGAGGAAACAGAGTAAAAAAATGCACTAAAAAGTCTTTACTAATTGCATGGAAGTACAAAAGTATATTTACTGACCTGCATAATAACTTTATTAAGTTCAAAGTTGAAAATAAAAATAAATGCAGGATCAAAAAGCTTATTAGACAAAAGAATATAGAAATTAGTTTTTTTTGGAAGGAACATTTAAAAGCAAAAACAAATTGAGATTTTCAAAGTTTCTGAAAAAACGGAAACGGATCAAATATATGAGGAAACAAAACTAAAAATTGAGGAAACCGAAAAATAAATTGAGATTTTTAAAGTTTTTTAAAAAAGTGGAAACGGATCAAAAAAAATGAGGAAACGGACCTAAAAATACGAGGAAACAGATCAATTTTAAAGTTTTTGAAAAAGCGGAAACAGATCTAAAATATGAGGAAACAAACGGACCTAAAATTTGAGGAAATCGATCTAAAATATAAGGAAACAGATCAATTTTAAAGTTAAAAAAGAGGAAACAGATCTAAAATATGAGGAAACAAACCTAAAATTTGAGGAAACCGATCAACAAATAGAGATTTTTAAAGTTTTTGAAAAAAGCGGAAATGGATCAAAAATATGAGAAAACGGACTTAAAAAATAAGAGGAAACCATTTAACTATAAATATTGGGAAATGGATACAAAATATTCGGAAATCACTCAACAATTATGAATTTTTGAGGGATTTCCTCGAATTTCTAAACAAAAAACGGAAATTCCTCTGAAGTAATCCTAGATCCATTTCCGTTTTAAGGCGTTTCCATGTCACCAAAGTACGATAGAGACAACAGCACTTCCAGCTGAGCCATACCATGAAGCAAAACGTTAAAATTGATGTTATATATTTGTGTACCAAAAGTTAACTCAAGTTTGATACCTATAGGCACGGATAGTGCAGTTTCTATTCTAAACCCTTTATAATCTAAAACATATGATTTTTATCCATTTTATCATTTATGTCAGGTAATCTAAAAAAAACTTTTAAAAATGCCCTAATATTTTTTTAAAATTAGATATTGTTAAAAATCTATCCAAAAATGGTCGACAAAATATTTTTGCGATTAACTTTATATTGTTTCTTTACGTAAACATTATCGTGGTTTTGACCATATAAAGTTACGTAAATTACTTTTCATAAGTTATGTACTAATTGTTAAATTATCATAAATTATGATATTTGTGTACGCATATATATTAAGACTTCCCATATTAGAATAACTAAAAAACTGAAGTATGTCAATCATTTTTCTTTTTCGTGCAATTTTTTCTAATCCAAGTTTAAGGTTCACTGAGTCAGCATATTTATTTTCTTTTAAACACTTATTCGATTACTTGTATAAATAGGGAATAGAATATATATTAGAGGGGAATTTAAAGAATCTCTCGGTATGAATTTTTTCAGTCCCTTTCAGTCTGAAAGGGAGTTCAAAGTGTACAAATCATGTAAATGTTCACAAATTATATGCGGTACAGTACATTAATACAGTACATATACATATACATTATAATGAATTAGGTGAATAAAAACATCATTTGATTTATAGTTATAACGGAAAATCATCGTTTGTAAAGTGGAAGGCATAGAGTCTATGTGAAATGATCTTTGGTCAATTATGACACCAGCTTATTTCATAATTTGGTTTTCTTTTAACAATAATTTTAGATTTTCTATAAAATGATATTCCAGGGCCCAAAAGGTTATATAGCATAAATATGTGAAGTACACCTGCAGTATGGAAACTGTACAACAAAATGGCCGTTTTACACTTTTTTCTAGTAAATTTCTCTCTAATATATATTCTATTCTTGTATATAAATTACATATATTTTTTGTTGGAGAATATCGATCTCCACTGATAGTTTTTTTTAACGTAAATTAGTTCAGCTATTTGATTTAAATAAACATCTGATTTTAATATACTGTTTAGGTAAACGAAATCAGGAGCTTGTCGCGATAACAATATCTTGCTTTCTTTTCTTTCTTGATTCAGTAATCCTGCTTTATTCAATTAATAGGTATCCAACTTTTTGCTTTCTTGATATAACCTTTCTGAGCTTGTGAAAAACTACTATCTGAAATTGAGGGCTTCGTCCTGCAAGACATTTCTTTAAAAATACTAAATAGATTGTTGAAGTCTTGAATATTTTTTTTTTTGGCAAAGTACAAGATGATTGCTGAAAAGTTTAAGTCAGTAACTGAGAAAATATCTTTTTCCTTTTTTTAAAAAAAAATATAAAAATTTTGTATGGATTGAATTAAAAAATATATTAAAGGAATTAAGTCTTTGTCACAAACTCAAGCTTTTGCAACCTGATGGTGTAAACCTTTGAAATTTAAACTTGTATCATTTGATCAAACAGGTTAAAATATCTAAGGTATACAACATTGTGTTGCAAGGAAATACGAATTAGAAAATCAGGGTTTGTGGCAATTTACTGCATAATTAATTTATTTTATTAATGAAGTTTAATTCAAAATCATTTCTAACATTTAATCTTTTTTATGTCCAAACCTTATCTACTTCAAAAGGATGGTGTCTGCCCTACATACTAGAAATGATTTTAAATAATTAACTGTAAACTTCTTATTCTACTATAAATACTTAGCAGCAATCTTTTATGCAACCATCATAAGCCCTTTATGAAACACTAAGAAATCAGGCTATTTAAAAAATACAAGTGAAAGTAGCAGCGCAAAGAATTTTCATTTGATCCAATGTTTAGAATTGATCCTTGCACTGTACTACTGGCATGTATTTCTGGTATGGGAGCCGCAGACTTCCTTTCTGGATTGGTTCATTGGTTGGGTGAGATTTAAATTTGATTTTTTAGAGATTTAAATTAGATTTTTTAGAGATTTAAATTAGATTTTTTAGAGATTTGCATTAAATTTTTTACGTGAAATATATCTTGAAATTTCAAAATATATGATGCTTTTTTCCTTAATATTTTCCTGTATAACTTTTCTAGTAAAATATTATAGTAAATTAATTCCAGATGCAATAATTTTCTTTTTAATTTTTTCTAATATGTTACCTTTCTGAAAATACACAAAAATGCAGATTTTTTAGAATTATATAACACATATTTTAACGCTTACAGATGTCCCTGAGTGCCGGAAATTTTGAGACTTTTTATCATTTGAACCATAGCGAGTTTGCTTAATATACGTTGTGGCCTGTAAACGCCTTTTTATTGACAGAAATAATTCTAGATAAAAAATATGACAAGGCCATTAAAGCTCAAATCTAGTGAGTAAACTAAAATCAGTCAGAACCGTCAGAAATGATTTTTCGGCGTCAAACATTTTAGAAATCTGACGTAAAGGCGGTATTTTCCACGAGAATTTTTTTTATATTTTTGAGAAATTAAACGTTTTTGTGAGGCATTGTAGCTTATCAATATCATTATCATTATTTCTATTTTTTTTAGCATACCCTGAGACACTATACAACAAACTAGATTAATATGGTAGATGTGTACTGCTATTGTGTTTAAGGTCTGACAACATAAATGAATGATTATGATTTATATTTAAAAAATTTGTTTAACAAAAAAATTTCTCAAAAATATAAAAAAAAGTGCCCCCGGAAAATACCTAGCGATTTTTATACGTTGGATTCCTATAATGCTTGACGCAGATTTTTCTTTGGCGGCCACGTCTGCTAATAAATTTCGTGATTTTTTAACGTTCATTGGATGGCCCATTATGGTTACAAAAGTTGGTTAAAGGAACTGAGTTTTTGCCACAAACTCTAATTTTATAATCCCTATATATTAGCAACACTAAGTCGTAGACCTTTAATTTTTCAAACTATAAATTCTGTTAGATTAAATATTCTAATTGAAATTTAGGAGGTTAACTTGAGAAAATTTGAGTTTGTGGCAAAAAATCATTCCTTTATATGAAGAAATTGTTATTAAAAGAACGCTTTTTCTCAGCAGCTCCTGACTCTTCATGACTCATTTTCTTCAAAAAATACACGTACAAAAATCTCTTTTATTCCAAAAACGATTATCTATGGGTTAAATGTGTTTCTTATTTTATATAGAATAAATATTCTGAATAAAAAAGACAAAAATTAAAAACTTAAAATTAATAATCGTAAAAACTGCAATTTAACACATTAAGTTCTCAAAATTCACGATAAGAAACGATTTAAGTTAAAATTTAATGTTAAGTAAACAAGTAATGTATCTTTTGATTAGCGGCGCCTGGTAAAAAATTGTACTTTTTTGTGCCTCTCCTCTGTATGGTGTTTTTTAATATTTTTTGAACATCTTTATTTAATTTTTGATACTCCATTTGCCCAAAAAAAATCTGCAAACCTTTTTTTCTCTCAAAATCAACAGTTCAGAAAAGCAAAAATGTGTATGTAAATTATTTCTATCGAAATCTACAATTTTATAAAAATTGAATCACAGAATCACAGAAAATTCGCAAAATTGTAATAAGAAAATTGGCAATTTTCAGTTCTGGTTAAATTTTTAAAGAAAAGTTTTTAAACTCTCTAGTTTCTTTCTTCTTAGAATATTCTGTTCAGTTGAAACCTGAAGAACCATTGACAAACAACTTTTCCTTAAAAATTAGACACAAAAGAGTTGCATAAAAAACGTTCAATTTTGCACCAGGCGCCGCTAATCACACTTTTTTTTACTCACCCTGTTTATCTCCATAATGTCAAAGTGAAGCGAAATAAACATCGGGGTGAACAGCTTTATGATCTTAAAATCAAGAAGAGTTTAAGTCTTTAAGTAAAAAAAAACTTTTAATAATGTTTTCTTTTTAGAGTATCAACTCATTTAAGATTTAATCTCAAAATATCTTAAATACACTAGTCTTTTTTTTTACACATAACCAACTAATAATGGAACTTGTTTATATTATAAGTACTGAATCGAGAGCTTTACCGTATTTGCTATGAAATAGAATTTGTTTTGAATATATATGAGACAGTTTGACACGAAACTATCACTGTTTTTTTAATTTTTAATCTGAAATAAATGAATTTCTTTCAGGCATTGAAAAGTTGCAGATAGATACTCACACATATTTGACACAAATGACGTTTTACAATATTTACTTTTGCAAATACAAAATAATATTCGCACTAAAATGTTTTACTCAGGAATATTCAAGTATACTTACAAGAATGTACAGTGTACACTGAAGTGATTAACGTGATTAAGCATTGGCAAACCATCAAGAGATTTAAGTATTTAAAAACCATCAAGAGATTTAAGTATTTAAAAACCAGCAAGAGATTTAAGTATTTAAAACCACCAAGAGATTTAAGTATTAAAAACTATCAAGAGATTTAAGTATTTAAAAAACCATCAAGAGATTTAAGTATTTGAAAAACCATCAAGAGATTTAAGTATTTAAAAACCATCAAGAGATTTAAGTATTTAAAACACCATCAAGAGATTTAAGTATTTAAAAAACCATCAAGAGATTTAAGTATTTGAAAAACCATCAAGAGATTTAAGTATTTAAAAAACCTCAAAATGTCATATCTCAATTCATACTGAAAATATAAAATAAATCAAATTCCCGAAAAATATCATAAGATAGCATTTTATGAAGGTTTAACATTCTATAACATTTCTAATTAAAATCCAGTCGGGTCAATACATTTGTTAACCAAATACAATAAAGTAGTCAGTTCGGTGCGTACTGCAGTCAGATTACTGCAGTACGCACCGATAGCGTAGATTAGGGTGATATCATAAATTGAAAGTTTTCAGGCATTGGAGGTATCATATTCTAACACACGCCAAACTAAAATAAATTGCACGTTAGATTAAAACCTTCTATGTTTTAAATCATAACTTCCCTCCTTGAAGAGGTTTTCTTTCTGCGTTAACAATTTTTATTTTTATTTTCCAGCTGACACCTGGGGCAGTGTTGAAATACCGCTGTTCGGCAAGGTAACACTGAGTGCCACATGCCAAGCTGAAAACTTAGTTGTACTTTTCGAAAGGATTATCTGCACTCAACAATTTGTGGGAAAGGAATTGAGTCTTCGCCACAAATTCGATTTTTGTAATCCTTATATCTTTGCAACCTGATGATGTAAACCTTTGATATTTCAAACTTACATTATTTGATCTAACAGCATTCATAGTTTGAAATATTAAAGGTCTACGACATTGGGTTGCAATGAAATTGAAATTAGAAAATCAGAGTTTGTGGAAAAAACTCAATTCCTTTGAATCTTAATGTTCTCACCTAAATATGCAAGCCATGATCTGCCTAATAAAAAAATATAGAAGAAATCTAAAACAACATATGGCAAGAGGCACTCAAATACTTCTTATTATGTTTGATCTCTTTTTGTTTATCGAATATATAGAAACTAAATTAGATATTGTTTAACAATTCATTTTTTTAAACATTCGATTTGTTTTATTTCAGATTTTTTATCCGTTTTCTCGACATGAAGTATGGTATTTTTTACCACATTGAAAATGTTTAAAACGGAAAAGCCATTTGACACTGCATCAAACTGAAAAAAATCCTTTACAACTAAAACATTTACCTATTTAAAACTATGTTAAGTGTGATATAAAACCTGAGGTGAAAACTTTAATCTTTCAATTTCAATACTTTGGATACTTTGGCCCTGTGTAATTTCAAAGCAACAAGCAATAAAATTTTATGCCTTACTCACTCTTTTTTGCGAAAATATTTACTTTCCAGTCAAATTATGACCTAATAAATTAAGAATTATGAAGTTTTTGATTTAACACCACAAATATTTCCTCATCGGTTGTAAAACAAGATGAAAGAAATCCTTTATTTTTCTGATCAAAAATCATTTTTGATGCTTTTAAGAAAAAACCCGTGAAAAGGCAAGTTTTGCAAGAAGGAAGATGCATTACCATCCCCCCCCCCCCTCCATACTTTTTGGGATAAAATGATTCAGGATATCCAAATTGCCATTCTTAACAGTTTGCTGTAAATAGCAAATAGTTAATGGCCTCAAATGAGAAGTTAAGGCACTCTAAGTCACTTTTCTAAGGCTGTACTACACTTAAAAAAAAATATTAAGGAAATTTAATTCTTACACTTAACAGAAAAAAACATTGATATGGAATGCTTACTTAGTCACTCTTTTGACTAGGCAACAAGTATTGTGACTTAGAGTTGTGGTTTAGAATCTGTCTTGAACATTATCAAACTCTTAACTAAATTAAACAAGAAAAATGTGACTTATAGAAATTATTGTGACTTCTAATTTGAGACTTAGAAAGTGTCTTAGTCATAATTTTGTCTCCAAAAACAGTCTTAGACATATTTGTGACTTTTCCTTGTGACTGAAAATGTGTGTTAGACATTCATAATTAAGCCTTAAAAAACATGACTCAGGATTGGGAATAGTTTTGACTCAAGAGTTATAGTTTAGAAAGTGTCTTAGACATTATTGGGTGTGAAAGTGTCTTAGACAAAGCTGTGACTTAGAAATTTAACTAAGAAAGCTTCTTAGTCACATTTTGATCTGAAAAGTAAGACTTTGAAATGATTGTGACTTAGAACTGTGCCTTAGAATAGGCCTTCAATATAATTAAGCCAGATAACTGTGAATTAGACATAAGTGTGATTGAAACGGCGTTTCAAACTTAATTAATACTTAGATTTGTGACTTAGAATGGGTCTTGAATACAATAAAGCCTTAAAAAACATGATTTAGACCTTGTTGTGAATTAGAATTGAGCCTCAGAATGTGACACATTTGTTACTTAGAAAGTGTTCTAGAATGTGTTTAATGCATGTCTGTGGCTTCGAAAGTGTTTTAGACATAATTGTGACTTAAAACTGTGACTTAGAAATTCTCAAAAGCATTAGTTTGACATAGCATGGTGACTTAGAAAGTGACTTAGACATGATTGTTACTTGACATGATTTGGTCTTAAAACTTTGACGTTGATGTAACCGATGACTTAGAACTGTGATTTGATTTGAGTTAGAATTGTGACTTAGAATGTGTCTTAAAGTAACTTAATATAGATTCTGTGGCCAATATGTCTTAAGTGACAGTTTTGATGCCTCAGTATTTTCAAAAAGGAACATTGTTGATGCTTTCCCACAGCTTTATGATATTTTGGAGATTTCCGCACCTTGGGTTATGTTAGGTTACACAAAGAATCAAAAATTGATAACAAATAGAATGGGGGATATCGAGATCAATGCTTGATCTCCTGGTTTTACTAAACCCGAGATTAGGTTTATAATGCATTCGATATCCAAGAAAGAAGTTTAAAATTCAACCAATCAGCGAGTCATGTTAAATACGCTCTTTAACTTTTGAAAACCTGGTTTTAACTTTAGCGCATTTCTGGTGTCATATCAATTGAACTAATGATCGATCGAACGAATGTAAGTTTTGGATTAATGTTTATTAAAACTAACGTTCAAAATTACTAAAGTTCACAAATGTGATAAAATTTGTTTTTTTTAATAAGTTCATAAAAGCATGATTAAAATTATATTTGTTCAACAGCTGACTTAAATAGTTCAATCGGTATAGTCCAATCGATAAGGCATCGTATCTGCAATTGTTATCAAACGTAACTTTTATACAGTAGTGGTGTCCAAAAGAGAGGATTAGGAAGAAAATCAAAAGTGTGTACATTGGATACTCAGATTAAACGATCAGGATTAAGGATATCCATTCTAAAATTTTCAGCGCTGTACCATAAGATTGCTTTTTAAAATATTATTTATAAATAAATTAGATAACCTAAAAAGTTTTCCAAAGTAATGTCATGATCGTCTAAATATGTAAGGAGCCATTAGGATATAATAATAAAAGGACATGAGCCTGTTTATTAATTTTATTCGTATAATAAATTCAGAATTTTTCAGAATTGTATTCGACCTTTTCGAGAACACCACATTGATCCAACTTCAATTATTAGGTAAAGTCCTTATGCTTGAAATTTTAAATTAATACATTTACTACAAACCCCTCACTAAACCTCTAACCGAAGTCAACTTCAATTATTAGGTAAAGTTCTTATGCTTGAAATTTTAAATTAATACATTTACTACAAACCCCTCACTAAACCTCTAACCAAAGTCAATCCTCAAATATTAGACAGTGATAATAGGAACTAATTTCTCTTCTCAAACCCCTCACTAAACCTCTTACCAAAGACAATCCTCAAATATTAAACAGTGATAATAGGAACTAATTTCTCTTCTCAAACCCCTCACTAAACCTCTTACCAAAGACAATCCTCAAATATTAGACAGTGATAATAGGAACTAATTTCTCTTCTCAAACCCCTCACTAAACCTCTAACCAAAGTCAATCCTCAAATATTAGACAGTGATAATAGGAACTAATTTCTCTTCTCAAACCCCTCACTAAACCTCTAACCGAAGACAATACTCAAATATTAAACAGTGATAATTGGAACTAATTTCTCTTCTCAAACTCTTATTTTCTAATTATCCCACCTTTCCTTTTTTCAAAGAGCTTTGATATGTTAAAGTATAAACTTGCTGATTCTAAACTTACATTAAAAACCCAAAGAACATTTTGCAAATCAGGGAGCTTAGGCATTTTTTTAAATGGATAAAATTGAATATTTAGTTTGGGGTTTAACCCAAACTGTAGGGTGAGTGATTGTTATTGCAGACATGATTTTGTGGAGACAAATGGAGATAATCTAACCTTAGCAATACCACTTCTAACCTATGTAACCTTCATTCTACTGTCCTCAACTCCCTCCCAGGTTTGTTTAGACCTGTTCAATGTAAATTCTTTTTTAAAAATCCACGATGTTACGCTATTTTACATAAGCAAAACATCTTTTTATATTTTTTAATAATTATTTGCCTCAGGTGTCAGAAGATAGCTTCAAAATTTATTTCTTATTTCTTTTAACAATATTCGTTGCTCTTACAAATCAGGTAACGAAATATAGAGAAAAAGTAACATTAAATATACTGTTTAATAAAAGTATATGATACAAAGCAATAAATATTGTCATAACAATTTCTAAAATGTGTTTGATTTAATCATTTGTTACTTTGTTAATTTGTCTGTTTATTTGAAAGATTCATAAATGGTCACACACATATTTTGGTCTTCCTGCTTCGGTCAAGCTTTTACAGGTATAAAGAAAGACAAACTTTCATTTAAAGTATTACATAAAACTTTGCTGAAACCTCTTTGAATCAAAATTTGCAGATTACATTTAAATTTAATTGTGTTTTTATCTTTTTAATTCTAGAATGCACACATAATACTACCCCGAAAACATCATAGGATTCATCATGTGTCACCTCATGAAACATACTATTGCATCACGACAGGCTGGCTAAACTGGCCACTAGAGAAAATAGGTAATCTAACAATTACTTTCCTTTTGTAACATCCTTTTTAAGTATAGAAATTGTTTATTATTGTGTTTTTGTAGTTGTAAAGTTGAAAACATATTTTATCTAAAATGTTCAGGGTTTTGGCGTAGACTAGAGTCTGTGGTTATCCGATTTACTGGATGTAAGCCTAGATCTGATGATCTGAAATGGAGAGAGAAAAATCATAAAAATTAAACTTTCAAGAAAATAAAATATTATAAAATAAAACAATAAAGATATTACAAAATCTTCGTCCATGACTAAATTTGTAAGTAATCGTCACTGTTAAAAATCTTGGATAATTGATAGTTACAAAAAAACCAGTTTTTGTATCCTTTATTATATTTGTATAGAAGTATGTTGTATAGACAGAAGTATTTGCTATAAGTGCATATCTGTATTTCCTGACTTTCTATTTTTGATATGGTTCAACTAAATTTTACTAGTTAAATACTTATTACTTGTTAAAATACCATATCTGTCATCATAGCCTATCCCGTCATGAGGCAAAATTTTAAAACTAATAAAAGATTGCGAAAATATCTAATGGTGCTTGAGTTTTTTGTATTATGATTCTTTAAATAAAAAAAATTGCAGGAAAGATTCATGTTTTATCCCCAAGAGATAACGAGTCTTTATCCAAACATCCTAGAGACATTGTGGTATTAACTTCGTTATGCTCGGGTAATAGCCTCTGAAAGAGAAAAGTGTTACGGTTTTTAAAACCCTTTTATTATTTCTTGAGATTTGTCTCTGTCATAAAGATTCAAAACAGATTTTGTGAAATTATTTTTTTACGAAATTTAATATCCTAAAAAAGTATTGACAAAATAAAATGGATTTAGGTAGATTTATTTAAAAATGAATAAATAACACATATTTTTAACAGAAACGAAACCAATCTTTATTCACAATGGAATTCAAGAATGGACGAAACATTTTGACGATTTTTTGTTTTTGGTCTCAACATGTTCAATATTTAGGATAAATATGACAAGTTTGTAATTGAAGAAAAAACTGATTCACGTACATACAGACGAATTTTGTATATTGCTAACCCTGGCCTATAGGTTTATATTTTTAGGTTTAGTTCTTGTAGTCAGGAATAGGAGAGGGTTTTGCTAGATCTGCACCAGTGGGGTTCAGGAGCTTAAACTGTTTTGCCCTAAACATTATACAACTTATTTATTATTAAAAACGACAGAAACTTTCTACTCTTATAAAATATAAAAGAAATATTGAAAGTTAAAATTGCAAAACCGTTAAAATATATAACAGAGTAGACATTAGTCACATTACCAGAAAAAACTCTACAAAATATACCCGGGTGTACTTTATCTATCAAAATTCATAGTTTGAAAACCAGAGTTTGTTGCAGACTCAATTCCTTTAGCTTTTAAGATTTTTCAAATACCCTGATATTAATAATAGGTTATATAAGTGTTAACATAATTGATCTGTATGCAGTATTTTACTTGTAATGATTAACAGCATAGTCCTCCTCCTTGATTTTTCTCCAGTTTACATCTGTAGTCTATAATTAGCTCAAAATTAACCACCTTATGTAATTCAAAACAATAAAGCTAGTTCAAGAAAGTGTAAATAAAATACAGTCCTTCCCCCACTTTATAGTGGTTGTTAGTTAGTATAAAGAACTATTATTGGTTAATCTTTCCTTAGTAGCAGTCCGAATACACATAGCAGTCACCATAGTCACTCCTATAATCATAAATTAGATAATTCAAATTAGGATTTGCATGTGAAAAAGGTGGCCTTGTTTCTCTGTGCATAAAAACACAGATGATATTAAACCACTGATGCCGTCTAGTTACAGCTTACGTCATGCTTGCATCCCGACTGTGAAATTAGATGAATGGTATTTACATAATTTATTCTGTTTATTAATAAAACAAAATTCCAAAAGACCTGAAAACTTTGCTGACTTCTGTACTCAATTTTTGTATTGAATTGAATATATTTAGCACAAACATATATTGTTCTAAATTAAATAAGTATGTTACGTAAAAGAGAAACTATCAATTCCGTATACTATTCTTACTAGTTCTTATCCTCCAATTTCAGAGTTATCTATACTTAAATAGCTTTTTATAAACACAAAATTTTAAATCTAAAACCATACCTTCATAGCTCTGCATCGGAACCATGCAACATGAATATTCAAAACTATTTTGTCCAAATATATTAGCCTAGCATCGTACCTGTCCATAGTTGCATTTCGTTAATGCACTGTGGCAAAAGTTAAAATGTTGCCCTCCCCCCCCCCCCGCCCCCAAATATAAAAAAGAAAATTAATTTTGCTTTTTCCCTTATCATCTTTTAATGATTGTACGCTTTAAGACCTCTAAATGTTTATAAGCACTATCTCTGCTATCCGAAGGTATAAATGTATCAGAGGAATTCAGTTTTTGCCGCAAACTCTGATTTTTTATTTCCTTTATCCTTAAAATCCAATGTATTAGACCTTGGATATTTCATATTTTGAATTCTGCTGGATCAAATAATCTAAGTTTGAAATATCAAAGGTTTACACCATAAGGTTGCTAAGATAAAGTAGTTATAAAATTTGAGTTTGTGGCAAACATTCAGTTTATTTCTCTGCATTCTCTGCATAAAGTTTGGCAAACAATGAAACCGCATGTTTTATATATCAAACCGCATGTTATACATAGATATACAGCAATGCAAATGCATTAAAGCACGTATAGTGTGGTTAGAAATGTCTATTTCATTCAGAAATAATAGCTGTTATATTCTATTATGTATTTGGACTAATATTTGAAATTCTTAATCTAATATCACATCAGACTTCCAAGCCTTTTCTTGAACATCATAAAATTCTTGCACATCAAAAATCAACTCGTATTTAAGAGTTCCGTAGATAAATATAATGAAACAAAATAACTAAGGTTAATTTAATGTTTATGAGAAAATTTTTGTGATTTAAAAAATTAAACCAGTGGGGGGGGGGAGGAGGGGGTGGAATAACTAAGAAATCTATGGAAAAGGTTCCTCAAGGAAGTCTGGCTTAACAAGAGGATGAAGAGGTACATTAAGCGACCCAAGGTTTACGCAAAGAATATTCACAAGTGGTCCAAACATTCCTTACACAGTGAAAGCTTAAATAACTCGCCTCTTGTAACTTTAATTATATTAATTTGTCTGCATTTTCACTTAATTGTCCTTTAATGGTAGGAGGAATAAAAGCTATAGGGGTTATATAAAATCATAGTTTGCGACAAAGACTCAATTTCTTTGCAGAACAATTATTTCACAGGTTTAAAAATCATTGCTAAAGATAATTACAAAGATACCTGCTCCCATAATGATAAAGAGAGGTTGAAGGGCGACATGGTGTCTAAGGGAAGCAAGAGTCATTCCTTGCATTCTTGTTCCGTTGTTCATCTTTCTACCACCTTTTCCCTAAATTTTCACTTTTATCATTAATATTAAGAGTAGTTTTCCTTGATTATTAATACATCATCATCTACCAATTATCCTTCCATATCATATCCATATTCATTATGATTATAGGAGTACCACTGGAGAGCTAGACGATCAACACGTGTCTCCCTTTTTTGTTCACGCCATGGCGCTTGATTTCGATTGTAGCACAATTGCACAAAAAAATCCAAATAGAACTGAACTAATATTCCTTTAAAGGATATTGAGTTTTTGTCACAAACTCTAATTTTCCAATCCCTATAACTTTAAATCCTGATTGTGTAAACTCAGACTTAGATTAATTGATCTAACAGAATTCATAGATTGAAAATCTAAGGTGTAAGAAATTGGTTTAAAAAGTATAGGGATTAGAAAATCAAAGTTTGTGGCAATTACTCAATTCCTTTCTTATGTGTTTAACAATCCTGAGCTGAGCTTTTAAAAGCTTGACCCGAGTAAACTCGGTGTTAGGGCCCACTTAGACCCTAGTAAAGCTTAAGCCAAGATTCGGGGTTTGGATGGCCTTGAGTTTAGTAAAAACCAACCATCTTGGGTTAGTCGCTCTTGAAGGCTCGGGTCTTCAAAAGCTTTTGGTCGTAAATTTCGTAAAATAGAAATTATTTGTAGTGTCAAATTTGATTAAATGTATGAAATAAACATACTATGAAAATAATGTATCTTGATAAAGTTCGAATTATCAAAATTTACTTCTGAAAACAGGGACCTTGTGACAGCTGAGTGGTCTCCTATGAAGAGAAAGCTTATGCAGTCTCTCATTAGTCGAATCAGAACCAATCCTGACTCGGGTTTCACTAAAGCTCGAGTCTCCGAATGAGCTGGGTTTTAATCGGGTTTAAGCTTTTAAAATCTCAGCTCAGAGCTGAGATTTTTCCCCAGCTCTAATAACCAAGTATACAAAAATATTCCTAATAATATGTTAAAAAGTTTTAGACGAAGAAAGTATTGCAGATTGACGATTAAATGACACAGTTAAAAGTAAACTAAGTCAGTGCATGATAATCTTATTCTACAGTTATAACCAGAAAACAACTTAATAAAATGACGACATCAAAGTAACATTTAACTATATTTGAGGATGTTACAAAGCAATGAAGTTTTTTTAACACTTATTAAATCAGTAGTTTAATTTAATGGGTCTGTTCATTGGACTTTTTATATCTATTTATGTCATTGTAATGGGTATTATTAAGAACGTAAAAGTTTTTGCCAGGATTTTTATTTTTTCTAGTTTGTTTAAGATCAAAATGAAAAGTTATAATTTGATTATAAAGTCGTCTTCCTAATTCAGAGTTTTCTGGTTTACTCTGTATATCAAAATACATTAAAGACAAAGCTAGATAATCTCCTGATATTTAACAATAAACTCTGTAACGAAATAAACAGATCGATATAATGAATCATGAAATTAATGGCTTCAATTATCATTCAGCAGGGCGCAAGGTCTCATTTTGATACCTTTCATATCTGAACTATTTCACCCTTTTTATATCCTCCTTCCCCCTCCCTCTAAATAACTCTAAGTAAGTAACTTGGACACCTTGAATGAGAAAATGTGCCAGGATTAGCAAGGAACTTCGATTTATTAGAAAGTGCTGCATTCGTTGACATGTATACAATTGGAACAATTACAAAAACAGTTCATATTACGTAATATTCTCACAATATTCGTCATTCTTTTTTCATTCCATTAATTTGCTAACAAATCTGATATCATTTATAAGAAAAACAGAAAATTTAGGCTTGCTTATAAGCTATCGAGATTCCATAAATATCATATATAAACTCTTCAGAAGAAGTTTTTTAGGCTGACTCGAATCAACTTTGATATCGATTCAATGTTTTGTTTTAGAATTAATAATCCAAAGATATGACTTACTCTATTATAATGATTTTATTTTTATTCTATGTATATTAAAAGTTATGACTTTTAATATATTTTTTCGGCCCTCCATTGAATCGAGACGAGATGCAATGCATTAGGCAGGCAATGCAGATCTTACGGAAACTAATATATTGATCTGAGATAAAGAGATTATAGAATTATTTTTATTACTCGAGGGAATTGTATATTAGTATGCAGTATGCACCAGTACTCCTAATTATATATGTTACACAATTTGTAACTAACTATAAAAACTCATTTCTATTCTCGACTTAATAATTCTTAATTGTATATAGGTGGTAGCCTGTAAAGTGCACTTCGCGTCCCTTTTTGTAGTAATAATTTACCGTCCTGTTTTACCGTCCTGTTTTACCGTCTATGTACTATGCATTGTAGTAAACAAAACTTGCTCTATGCTGCCTAAAAAGGCGGGCCGATATTTAAAATTAACTGGAGTTTTCAGTGCAAAGAGGTTATGCTAAAATATTCTTTAACATTGTTTTCCGTACTAAAAGATACAATCATATATTTGATGTGGGACACCCTGTATTTTCTATCTATTTAGTGCAGTTTTAAATTATGTTTATCTTTCGTACGTTGGAAACTTGCAAAATATCCACTGAAATATGATAAAATGCATAGAAGGTTAATGTAAACATACAAGGGACTGGAGATTAGGTAGGAATTCAAATGCATTTTTTCAGTAGTTCATTCAATATGACTTTAGTTTTATAGGTTAAAAAAATACCTTTAATGTCAAATAATTTTCACAAAAGATTGAAACTTAAAACTGCAGGTAATAAAATGAGTCCTATTCACAAACTCAATTTTTCTAATCTCTATATCTTTGCAACTAAATAGTTTAGATATTTCAAACCTAGATTATTTTACCCAACAACATTAGGATTAGAAAACCAGAGTTTGTTGTAAAGACTCAATTTCTTTCTAGCTTTAACCCTATGAAAATGACTAATGAGATATGAAAAAAGTATAGTACATTTTTTATTAAAAAAAATGCTTGTATCATTCTTGAAACCTGCAATCAAAGTTTGACAAATGTATTGGTTCTTTTATCCCCTTCCCCACTCCCCACCATCCCTCTTCGATTACGCTGATTATAAAAAAAATGAAAGTTCAACATTTAAAGCGTTAAAAATACATTTACGTAAAATGTGTGAAATTTTAACGTCACGGTAATAAATGTTGGTAAACTTTATTTGAATTTTTGCATTAAAAATATTTTACCTCAAGGTATCCCCCTGTAGCTGCACCAAGCACACGACTCACGAACATTGTTATTTAACTCTAAGAAAGGTTTACTGCTCTTAATAATAAATTAACAGGTTCAGGAGAATAAAAAGGAGCAAGGGGCAATGTTGCAATCTATTTCAATTTACATGAGTGGTTGTGTCTATTTTTTTCATTGTAATATGGGTATTATTAAATGCGAAAAAGTGTTTGTCGGGATTTTTATTTTTTTCTAGTCTGTTTAAGATCAAAATAAGAGTAGTGAGGTGGGAAAAAACTTATAAGCACCAATTGATTTGTAAGATGAGAAACAAACTTAGTATTTGTATCTGTGCCTGTTAATTAGAAATAATTTCCCCGCATTTTTTTCTTTTATTCCCAGATTTTCGGTTTTCAATGAAAGACACATTATTGTACTTTTCTGAAGTTGTCAATCTTATTATTATTGCAAAAATACTCTTTTCAAACACCCCCTTGATCTTTGCTACTTTCCATCACTACTGTAGGCGAAGTGGCAACTTTTCATGAGTCCTCTATTTATATTGGGAAGGTGCTCAGAGACGGTGTAAGCCGGAGAAAGATACGTGATCGGGAGGATGCAGTTTTCATTTCGTATCAGTCACATGATATTTTATCTAATTTATACAATTAAAATGAACAAAAAATCAAAATAAATTATGTTCTATGCAAAATAAACCATAGCTATTGGGGTATTCCTGTTTTGTAAAAAAATGCATTTATTATTGAATCAGTTAGTAATTAACTTTGAATATCAATAAATCTATTGGAAGAATAAAATATCTTTTAAAACAATTTTTTAAAATAAAAAATTCTTATAAAGGTCAGTTTGCATTTAAACAATTCAAAACTCTTTTTGAAAATAAAACAAAAACATGGGTAAAAATTGGCCACTTTTATACTCCACAATAAAAAATGTAATATCCAATATCTTAAATATATATATCTACAGTTGTAAACAGAAAATAATGGAATGAATTCCTCCTCATTCCTTTCATTTAGAAAATGTGGTCTGAAGTGGGAACTCTTGTATATTGTGGATATAGTGATCAATGCCTAATCTCGAATGCCTAATCTCAATGCCTAATCTCAAATGTGGAACTAACATCTACTTTTTTACTCTACAGAGGTTTGGTCCATCATCATCACTGAATTTTAAATCTCGATCTTTTGTTAATCTGCAGATTAATTTCATTTTTTTTCGAGAACCAATCGTAACATGCAGGAATAACTGAAATGAAAAGATCAAGCATTGATCCTCAAATTAAAAGTGCCCCCATGGTGGTGATCAAGATTAAGCATTGATCTTCAAATTAAAAGTGCCCCCATGGTTGTGATCAAGATCAAGAGATCGGGATTTTGACTTTTGAGTATCTATAAACACAAAATTTACCAGTTCTGAACAACTTTTGGAAACATGTCAGTTATAACAATTGTAAAAATTATATAAGATTATAGCATGGCATGTGATCATTTCATAATGAAAAAGAATGAAAGACTATGACAATCATTCCTCTGTTCTGTTCACGCTAAACTAAACATATTAATTGAAAGCTCATAAGATGTGTAATTTATTATTGGAAATATGCGCGAAGAGAATTTTTTTTGACCCCCCCCCCTGGCCTAGGAACTCCAAATTCAAAACATTTAGCTTCTTGTATACTTTATAAGGTACACAATACACATACGGTCCAATTACCTTCCAAGTACTACTTTATCTCTCATTCAAACAAAACTAGAAGAAACAAACAACAAACTATTTTCTTTATGTTCTTCACTCTTTTGTTTCAGATTTTAAAAGTGTGATAGCTCTGAGTTCTAGGGGGGGGGGGCAAGGGGGCTGTATACGACCTTGGATGCAATTCTTGACATTTATTAGTAAAAAAACCAAAATATTTTAATTTCATCTCTAAATTCCCGTATTTATTTTGGAAAACGACGTATTTGTTTTAGGGCCGGCACACTGCAATGTTTAGGCCAAAACTTAAAACTATGTTTAACTATAAAATGTTGACAACTTAATTTTGTCAATTCAGAGAAAAAAAATAGCAAAAGTAAGCAAAAAAAGAGATTAAGAAAAAATAATAAAGGAAAAGAAATGAATAGAAAATTAAACAACAAAATTGAAGCAAGAGCAGAATTAGAAGATAGAAAAGATTAGGACAAGAGAAAGAAAATGTGTCGGTCAACCGGAGGTAAAGAATTTATAAAATAACTTCATTAATTAAATAATTAAGGCATAATCTTTTTGTAAATTTATTCTTTAAATCCAAAATTAAACGGCTGTAAGGTTCCTGCTCTCTCTTAGTTATGCCCCAAATTTTTCCAAGGGGTGGCGTCCAACCATTTACTAGGAGGTGGAAGTCCCCCCTACCCCCCTTAAGCTGCCGCTTCTGAGAGGTGTATCTTTGCCACGGAATGGCCAGAACTGTAATTTTCAATTTTTTAAAAAAGATTATTTCCTTATGAAAACGACACCGAAAAATAGATAACAAAACGATCGTTTTTAAAAAGTTCTCTTTTTAAAAACGATCGTTTTATTAAAAAGTTTGTTTTTAAAAACGATCGTTTTTTTAAAAAGTTTGTTTTTTAAAAACAATTGTTTTACAAAACAATCGTTTTTATTAAGCTAGTCGTTTCAAAAACGATCTTTAATGACAACCCTTCCTTAACGATCGTTCACGACAACCCTTTGTTAACGATTTTTAATGACGACCCTTTGTTAACGATCGTTAACGACGAACCTTTATTAACGATTATTAACGATTATTTTGGTTTAAATAATCTTGTACGATCCTTAACATAGAGAGGAGGAGAGAGAAACCCAACCCGAAGGGCATCGGTAGACGGTACTTATCATTAAGTAGTCTTAAAGAAAATATCAAGAAGTTCTCCCCCACAACTTTTCAACTTCATGTAAGCATTCGATTAAGTTGCATGTACTTTTTTTCAAAAACGACCTTTTTATTAAGTTTGTTTTTTGTTAACGATCGCTAACGAAGAACCTTTGTTAACGATCGTTAACATATTAATCAATGACTGCAACTTCTTTTCAAAAAACGGTCGTTTTTTCAACAACAATAAAAAATGGTTGCTAATAGTTTTTTTCGAAAACAAAGCGATCGTTTTTGAAGATCAAAAAACAAAACAAAAGATGATCGTTTTCAAAAACGATTAACAGCTCTAAAAGGAATTGGCTGCAGTGAACAATTGTGAAGCATAAATTCTTCAAAATACAAATTATAAAAAGCTCATTTTGGTTTAAATAATTTCTTTTTTAAATCTAAATTTTAAAGTTAAATGTCTTTGAGTTTAATGAAAAGCCTTCTCTTTTAAATTTTATGGAATGCTTGATACCTATATCTTTCATTTCGACTGTTGGGAGATAATTTTACTTCATATTTTATAGATTATAGTTGCAATCTGTTTGGTTGCCGCGGGAGAACGTGACTATTTGAATCTTCTCTTTCGGCCTCTAATATCTCATGATATAGACTAGAGGTTAAGTAAACGTCCTCTTTGTCCTGCACTGCAACATCAACTTTTTACAAGCTGAATATTATATTTTCTGCATAATTTTTCATTACTCGAGTCCGAAAAACCTTTCTAGCAAAGGATAAAAGAGTTGGAGAATTAGAAGGACTTGGAAAGAAACGAGATAATAAAATAAATTTTTTGAATTAAGATGCAACTAACCTAGTTTAAAGGACCTATAAGCAGCTAAAAAGCAACGGGAAACCACATGCGAGTAGGTCAGAATTGCAATATAGAGGATATGCCTATAAGATAAAAAAAAATACACCATCCTCATCCAGCAAGACAACGGAAATTAAATTAACATCAAATTCACATCTTTTTAGATTGTAACGTCATTTTGACATTACAAAAAAACATCAAATTATAATGTAAAAACGTACGAATGTCTTTTTTTGACATTAGATTGATGTCAAACATCCTTAAATTATGTCAATTTTATGTCATTTTGAATAAAACATAAGTACAACTTATTTGACGTTACAATTCCCAAAGTGAGATCCATATTTACGTGATACCTAACAATCTCAATGATCCTTCAAATAATGTCAATTAAAATCTCAATGACGTTCAAATATGTCACTTAACATTTGAATGGAGTGAAAATTATATCTATGAACATTTTTATGACGTCTCATTAATAAAGTTTTACTTTTTAAAGACGTCAAAATAATGCCAATTAACATTATGATAACGTCCCTTGTACTAAATACATGGCAAAAAGTTGTAAACGTACTATTTAAATAAGAAAAACAGTTATTATGTAACAAATCTAAATATTCATCATAAACAAATATTACGTAGACTTCTTTTTTGACTTGGTGTTATTAGAGTATCTTCAATGTTTCCATAGAATCGCCATAACATTGCTGAACTGTGAAAATTCCATCCACACTATACGCATTCCCATCCATGGTCCCATAGTCTGGGCTTCAGATGTGAAATATATCCTCTCTCCAACTGAAATAGAAACAATCTTAATATCTAGCAAAAGGTTAGAAGATTAAAAGATTAGAAGACTATCAGATTAGCAGACTACAAGACTAGACAGCTAGGAGACTAGTAGACTAAAAGACTAAAAGACTAAAAGACTAAAAGACTAGAAGACATAGCAGAAGAAGAGTAGAAGAGTAGAAGAATAAAAGAATAGACTATACAAGAATAAAAGAATAGACTAGAAGACTAGAAAACTACAAGACTAGAAGAGTAAAAGTAAAGAGAGGAAGAGAAGAAGAATATAGAAGAGAAGAAAAGAAGAAGAGAAGTAGAGAAGAAGAGAAGAAGAGAAGAAGAGAAGAAGTGAAGAAGAGAAGAAGAGAGGAAGAGGAGAAGAAGAAAAAAGAAATGGAGAAAAAGAGAAAAGAAGAAGACAAGAAAAGAAGAAGAGAAGAAAAGAATAGAAGCAGGAGAAAAGAAGAAAGAAAGCAAGAAGAGAAGAAAAAAGAAGAGATGGAAAGAATAAGAGAAGAAAAGTAGGGAAGAAAAAAAGAACAGAATAACAAGAAAAGAAGAAAAGAAGAGAAGCCAATAAATAGTTGACCAATAATTAATTTTATATTGATCTTATGGCTGAAGCGTCCAGCTACCTAGCCTGTCTTAGCCGCAGCGCTTGGTCTCCTAGCAGCCGCAGCGCTCGGCCCCCTGTCGCCTGTTCTATCCCAGAAAGTGTCTTAACCAAGCCTAACCCTGAATTAATACAAAATTAACATTTTTTGTTGAAAATAGATAATTTAGGCATGATATTTTCGTATATTTCAGACAAATAAATGTTTCAAAGTTTTTAGGTTTTTATTTTACGTATTTTTACGTATTTTGTAGGTTTTTTTCTTTACTTAAATATTGTTGTTTTTTTAGAGGTTAAAAGTTTGATGCAAACCTAAAAATACATATATTCTCGTAAATCTCATACCAAGTAAGATCTCAAAGTTTTTAGGTTTTTATTTTGCGTATTTTTTAGAGGTTTTCTTTACTTAAAAAGTTGTATTTTTTGGAGTTTAAAAGTCTGATGCAAACCTAAAAATACGTTATTTTCGTAAATTTCATACAAATAAATGTTTCAAAGTTTAAAGCAATGCTTGATTTGTTTTTACGGTGGTACATGGTTTTCTTTATTACATACGCGACTAACTAACTAAAGTGTATTTAAGCTTTTAAGGGTTACATTTTAGTGTCTGAAACTTTTCAGTTTACATATACAATAAACATAAAAAATAAATGAATGGTACTTTGCTTAAGGAAAAAAATCATTATTTAAAATCAAGGCTTCTTGTCGGCCTCATCATGATGAAGATGAATAAAAAATGAAATTTCTAATATTTTGTTTAAAAGAGTTTATTTATTGACATTGAGACATTGAGACATTCTTAGTGAATTTTTGAGTACTCAAAAAAACCCTTCTACTTTGACTAAAAAAGACAAATATCCTCGCTTAAAATAATGGTTTTGAAACTCCCAAAAATGGCTATTATAATAAGTAACACACAATAAGATTATAATTTGGTTTGGGAAGGGAATCAACTCTTGCTTGACTTTGAGCTACAATTGGTAANTCCCCTTTAATCCTTCCTCCCCCTTTTCTAACAACCCTCCCCCCTCCCCTTACCTCCCCTCCTATAATAATGATCGCCCTACTAACCAGCATCGTAATGCATGTATACTCAATACACTTTCCATGATACACACTATTATATAATTATACTCATATATAGGAGGGGGGGGGAGCCGATTATTCCTTGGCACTTTGTGTAACTCCAGCGCCAAGACAAAATTCTCGAAATTGACTATCTCTAGATGAATTCTAATAAATTCCAATGATTATTAAATATCTCTTCTGCTCCCGGACGTCGAGATTTTTTTAATTTTATTTAGTGTTTATTAGATCTATGCAATTTAAAAAAAAAGTTTGAACAAGAGCAGTCTTTGGCGGGGTTGGAACAGGCTTTCGCGGGGTTGGAGCAGGCTTCTGCGGGGTTCGAACAGGGTTCTGCGAACTACCTGGGTTGGAACAGGATATTGCGGGGTTCATGGCCGCATGGCCCCCCCTCCCTCGTCTGATCAATCATTAGTGCAAACGAAATTTCACCCACCTTGTTGGTTTTCACTAAAGTCGTCTTCACAGACCGCTTCACCTGAGAAACAAATGCCGCGTTGTGGTTAGAAGATAGAGAGAGCAGCTAATAGTTTGCTTATTATTAAACACGAATTAGTTTACTCTCTAATCAGAATATTCCAGTGTTATAATTTGTATGGAACAAGAGTTTCCATTTTTCGTCATCATTCTTTAGAAAAGTTCTTTAAGAATTTCGTTTTATGATCCTGGTCCAGGTCCAGCTGGGAATTCTAAACCTGACAAGTTAATTTAAACCAAAACATTATGAACAATGAAGGTGGAGCGTAGCAAAATCTCCAGTATAATCGAACAAGAATTTGATAAATTTATAGATTTGAAGAAGCGTGATGTCTGCCGAATAGACGAAAATATACTACAAGTCCGTCAGCTACTACAACTTGTCAGATATGCAGCAGTCAAAGGAAAGCTTTGTGTTTTGTAAATATTTATTATTACTTCTGCTATTAATGTATTAAAACTGTATCCAAGTAAATACTGTTTGAATAAGCAAGAAAATAATTCTATTCATATGTAAATTATCAGGTAATTGCCTAATATTTATTTTAGGACCCCCCGCCCTGACCCCCTCCTATCAAGTTTGCACAATGAACATGCATCTCACATGTTAAACATGGTAAACGTTGGGCACACCCCCTAGCCTGGTCTAGCCGCAACTTTTGGTCCAGAATTTATGTTAATCTAACCTAACGCCGAAATATTGCATAACAAATATTACTAATTCATCTTGAAAAACAGCGAAACAGCGACTTAATGTATAAAATTAATAGAAGGTGGGTGGGGTAGGTAATTTCCTAGTATACGATTTTTTAAGGACGGATTCCCATAAAAGAACAAAATTATTTTACCAAAGCCCTTTTTTAGAATACTATTCCGGTGTTCTTCCAAAGCAAGCGGAAAGTAATCCTGAATCGATACACATTCATCCTGCAGTTAAAACCCTGCTACAAGGGAAGAGACCTAAGTTAGATTCAGTGGATTCTGTTGCATCTGATAAACCTAATTTCCCAACCTATCTACCACCAATTAAGAAAGAAGATCCGTTCGTAGCGCTACCGCCTCGAGCCTTCCAACATAAACAAAAGCGTCGTATTGTTGTTGGCAATGTGTCTAAATGGATTCCTGAAAACCAAAGGGAGGGTGTAGCCACACACAAATGGATGGTGTATGTGAGAGGAGATGAAGAAAATCCTGATTTGCCCGAGGTTTGTCGGGTTAGGTTCTACCTGCATCCTTCTTACAAACCTCATCATGAGGTAGATGTAGACACCCCACCCTGGCAGCTTACTAGGAGGGGGTGGGGTGAGTTTCCTCTCAGAGTTCTAATATTTTTTGAAAATAATGAGAATAGATCTGTAGAACTGGTTCATCAGATAAAACTTGACAAAACGCATTCAGGGACAATCCAATATATATTAAAATTAAGTTTGTTCCCTGAGGTTATTCTTATTTCGAATTGGTGGAAGACTTAATGTTACTAAATAAGGAGGAGGAGGGGATTTATATTGAGAAATTTAAAAAATAAGAAAACAAATTAGTTTGGAGTTTTTTGTTTCAGCAAAAAATCAAAATTTATTAATTAGGGTTCATTTTCAGATAGTTTTTCTGATTGAAGTTAGATTTTTTCCTGCAAAAATCAAGTTGTTTGGTATTTTTCTACTTTAATTATATATTTTCTATTTTTAGTAAAATGAAATCCATTATATTGATGTCTCGAACTTTAAGGAGTTCAAATGCTGGGTCAAGAAACTGCTGTTGATGTTTATCTTTACAAATCTGAGCAGGATAGAAAATAAAAAGATTTTATTTTCAAGGTTAAATAGTTTTTGTTTCAGAAGTAAAATTAGGAAAATGGCTGTTGAAGGAAATATTGAAGAATTGACCAGGAGTGTTAACAATATTGTTCGGAGATGCAAAACCGAGGAGTTCGGTGTTTTCAGGAATCAACTGCTTTACCTAGCTTCAATATTGTTTTATGTCTAGATTTCCCCCCGCCCCTTTAATATGGAAGAAAAAGATTTTTTTAGTAAGTAGCTAAGACATTAACAAGTCAAAAGTTGTAGCCTAGTTTATATTGTTAATGAATTAATTTTTTTTATGTAAAATTTAAAACCTTGTTGGTTAACAGTTATCTATGTCTCCGCTGTCACTTTACATGTAATGGACGAAAGCAGCTTGTAAAACATTTAGGTAAGACAAGTAATATTGTGTTTTGTTCTCCATGAATTAATTATATAATTCTTTCATATATAGGTGACGTTCATAGCGAGGTCATTTCGAAGCTTGCAGCTAGATTTAGTATGAAGGAAAACTTTCAGTCCTTGCTTAATAAGGTACATTTTAAATTCTTTCAGGACAGTTTTTTGTATTATTTATCTTTTATTGGCACAACCCAATATTATTTATTTCTAGCTTGTGATGTCAGCCCCGTACTCTGTGAAGAAATCTGTCAATGCTAAGACTAATGCAGTAAATCCATCAGCTCCGAACCCTTCATTATCTTCTTCGAAACCTCCTGCACCAACCCAACAAAATGCTACTGAGAATATTGTTGAAGTTGAAGTGAAGAATGCTGGTAAAAGAAGCCTACCAGTGACACGTGACATGATGAAGGTGATTAAGAATTAACATATCCACATAGTTGGATAGTCAATTGCCATAAATTGGAATTTTAAAATAATTTCGATCCCAAATACCTTGCAGTCAGCCCGTATGCTGCATGTTGGTGCGTTGCACCCAGCAGGCGGTCCGGGGGTTCCCTTTCAGATCTTTGCATGATATCTTAAGTTGATATTAGTCAACATTGCACGACAGCCCAGGCGCGGCGTTTATGTATTGTATATTGAAAATTTTTTGGGAAAACATTACAAATGGGACTTAGAAATAAAAAAATAATATTTTCATTCTGATTTTTATATTATTTGTATATTAAAAGATTTTATTATAATTCTTAAGTTTAAAGATATTTTAACACTTACGAACTACATTGTATAATTGAAATATATGTTTTGTAATTAATTAATTCATGTTCAAGATATGCGCTTTAGGTTATAGATGAAAGATTGAAGACTGTAGTAGACTGTGGGGGTATTGCAGGTTAAATTTTCTATAACTTGAACACAAAAAATACAATAATCAGAACAGGAATCTGGGTCTTAGTTAAGTTATTGCTTATATAATTTGTCGGTGAAATTACAGAAATGAAACTTGGTTGTGCCTCTTCTCAACTGGGGGGGGTCCCGGGTTCCCCAGAATCCCAAAGTATTTTTACAGTGGGAAATATTTATTTAAGAGAAAACTGCAATTACGTTGAAATAATTCTTTACAATTTTTTTATGAGTTCCGCCTTTTTGAAAAAAAAATTTTAAAAAAATTGTTTTAAAAAGTGTTGTTGTTATATGTCAAGTATTTCCACAGACCACGGACATTTGCAAAAATTTTCTTAAAAGTCTTATCCATTATTTATTCTATGACGGGCCCGTGTACTTTTCTACCATTGCATTGTTGCGTTAAATATAAAATGACAACCTGTTTTAAAAAAATTATATAAAATAGAGAACAAATATCTAGGTCGGATTGGTAAGCAATTGAGATTGGTTTACAGGATGGAAGATGATAACATAATTTGTGAACATTGCAAGGGAGAGAATGGAAACGAGTTTTCAAGTGGTGAATTAACAGCTGATCAAATTATACAGCACATGCAGGTTGCTGCTATTTTTAATTTAAATTATAAAGAACACATTTTAACTAGGGAAAAATAACACGTTTCTTAATTTTCCACTCAAATAACGATACATGAGATTTTGTATTTTTTTTAGAAATATCATCCGGAGTTTTTGGAAAATCTGAGACAACTATTTCCTCAAGCACAGAAGAGACTTAGCATTCATATACAGAAAGCTCTGCAACAAAAAACCATAACAAGCTCTAAGGTAACTTGAAACTAAGATGTTTTTTCACAAAGCTCTAATAACTTACGTTTTAACTATGTTGCAGTTACTTCTTTTTTTCAAATATGTTGTAACCATTTTTCACATTCAGATGAAAACTCTCCCCCTGTTTCACATTTTGGTCGACCTCTTAGTAGATTTTTGGGGTTACCTCTAGAATAAACAAAATAAATTATTCAAATTTAAACAACAGGTTTTAGAAGGTCTAAATAGTAAGCAAGAATTTCACTGGCAGGGGCACTCAGAATTGAAAACATATTTCCAACGTTCGATTTTTCAGTAGAATTAATAATGTTATTATTTTTACTGTAGGAGACTAATGAAGATAAAGTTGCAATTAAATACACCCTGAAACCAAGTAAAAACAGCGTTCAAAATGGTAAAAGTCAAAAGCGAAAATCGAGTGCGCCGTCAGAGTTAGGAAAACCAAAAAAGCTCCATGTACAGGCCAGTAATCTCCATAGAGAAAAGTCATCATAAAAAAAAAAAAAACAGCTCCTGACATGCCCATATTTTTCAGAAATCCAGAGACGACGGTTTCGATGACAAGTTTAGATACAAAGAACAACGGCTAAGGGAGAAGGAACTTGTATCTAAACTGTCTCCAGCACAACTGAGGTTGGTTCCGTGGAAATGGTTCAAACGAACCTGGTGTTACTCTTTTTATCTGTTCAGAAATTCATTAATCATTCTTTCGTTTTTTTTATTAGTTTTACGGTAAAGTGTTTGTATTCATTAACGATCGTTCTAAAATGTTGATTGACTGAATGATTGATTGATTGATTGATTGATTGATTGATTGATTGATTGATTGATTGATTGATTGATTGATTGATTGATTATTAGTCTGAGGTGTATTACCTCCATTCTGACATGATATCATGTTGAAGCTATTTATAATTAACGTTTTTGTACTAATTCTACTTTCTGTAAACTTACCTTATATTTTAATTAAGAAAACTTGTGATGATCTATTTGGAAACTCTGTGTACCCTTCCATCTCTCTGCTCTCTCTCTTTCTTAGATCTTCAGAAGAAAACAAAAATTCAGGAAACAGTGAAAATGAATATTTAATTGAAATTACAAAAATTTATTTTGATTATTCATCAAAAACTGTAAGCTTAGGTTTTTGGTAATCCTTAATTGCAAGACGGATTACAAATGTGTCATAAATTCGATTATGAAAATTTTTAACATGAAGACGCTGTTTAAGTGGATTTTTATAATAGAGATCAGCAGGAAAATGACCGAGGTTTTTTGCCATCACATCTCAAAAATTACTAGTTGAACTAAAAAAGCACAGTTGGGGATAATTTTTCAAAATTCCTGAATAAAAAATCACTTGAGTTCGCCAGAGAAGATTATTAATTTACTGGCTTGGGAAACCAGCGTTGCCCAGGTTACTAAACGTAACTACCGCCGTTTACCCGCACTTGAACAATTCTACCGGGATACTAACTTTTTGCTATTAAAGTCGACCCACTCAATTTAGAATCTTAAAACCATGCTAAGAACATTCCTGTGGGTCTTCCTTCTTACCTCTTAAAAATTTGAGGCAAATCGGTCCGGGGGTTCCTGAGTTATGATCGGACAAACAAACAACTAGACAGAAAAACACAGATTACAACTTTATATACATAGATATACAAATGAATATTAGTTTCATTTTGCTACAGGGATCTTATGTGGATATCCTGGATTTTCTTTGTTTACTACACGAGAAGGAAATTATAATCCTTGAGTAAAAAGTCCTAAAGTTTTTGATCTTGATATTCTAAAATATATAGCAGCAGCTGGTTTTTGAACGTAGATCAATTTTTAGTCTCAAATTGTATGAACATTTTATTTTACTAACTATATTTTCTGACATTTTTTTTCTAAATTTTTAAACATTTTATTATAAACTATTAAGGATTAAAATGTAGTGTGTTGGTTATTACGAGACACTTAGCAACTCACTGATTCCTCCCAGCAGGTCCTTAAAGGTACACATTTAGTAACGTTTATGAATTTTAACTGCAGTGCTTAGGGTCCAAATAATTTTGATGCGGATATCCGGATCCTGGATCCGCTCTGAAAAAATGGCTTCGGATCTGAATCCAGGTCATGGACATTTCTTTAAAGAAAAAGAAATGAAAAATTAACACTTTTTTCTTTCTTTTTATTGCTTACTTTTATACTGAAACTTGATGAACCATGTAGAAATTTTGAAGGTTGGGTAACAGTTGAGATTTGTATTTTGAGAGACGAAATTTTTTTTCGGATGTTGGTTAATGTTATGCACCTTGGATCCGGATTCGTGGATCCGCGGATCCAGAAATCCTATACACTGAATCTAAGAATTAAGTGGTTCTCATAGACAAAAAAGTACAAAAGTCTCCATGATATACATGTTTGATTTGGGGATTTTAACTGGTTTTTTGGTGCAAAAATTCTCTGTCTGATTTGTTGATGTTAAGATTGGACATGTGTTAATAAATTCAAGCCAAGTTAAGATAATCATAGAAAATGGCGTCCAGTCAATCAGGTAATTTCATAAAATTTATTATTTTAAAATTTATCTCAGAATCCCATTTTCAGCGGATCCATGGATCCGTCGCGTAGTTTGAAAAAAATGGATTTATCTCAAGTTCATGGATGTTTCTTTCGTTTCACTATTTTCTGTTTTAAAGCAATATTTTTTCCCATCATCAAATTTTTATAAAAAATATTTCGTCACTCGCCTTTTTTCCCGTGCGGGATCTTAAAAGTCAAAATATTTCTTATCCTTTACCGTAGAATTGAGATTCTGAAATTATTTTCTCTTTCTTAGAGTGGGATTGGGTGACTCAAAAAATCTGAAAACTGTCTCAAATTGGAATCATCCTGAGGATTGGAAAGTAATTATTCCTCCAGGTAACATTTTTAGTTTATGAGATTTTTTCATAGTGATACAAATAACATAGAAGCAACTGCATTGCTTAGGATCCATTTCATTTAGTTCCGGGTCCTGGCGGAAACAAAATGTTACGGATTCGGATCTTGGATAAACCTTAAACATAGAAACCTAAAATCTTTCCTACCTTGATATATAAGCCTACAATCCATCCTACCTGGATAGTGGATATAACTTAAGTCTACAATGTTTCCTACCTTAAGCCCTACAATCCTACCTTACCTATATATCAGCCTGGATATATCTTAAACCTTCCGTCCTTCCTATCTGGATAGTATATATATCATATACCTACAATCCTTCCTACCTGGATATATCACAAACCTACAATCCTTGCAACCTGAAAATATATCTTAAACCTACAATCCTTCCTACCTGGATATTTTTTAAGCCTACAATCCTTCATATCTAGATATATATTAAACCTGTAATCATTAAATCTATAATCCTTCCTGTCTGGATATATCTTAAACCTAGAATTCTTCCTACCTGAAAATATATTTTAAACCTACAATCCTTCCTACCTCGATATATCTTAAGCCTACAATCCTTCATATCTAGATATATATTAAACCTGCAATAATTAAATCTAAAATCCTTCCTGTCTGGATATATCTTAAACCTACAATTCTTCCTACCTAGATTTTATCTTTACCCTACGGTTTACAATTCTTCCAACCTGGATATATCTTAAACCTGGATATATATCTTAATTCTACAATTTTTCCTACCTGAGCTGGCAATTTTTACGTATGATACCCATAATCCCGATTGCTTGTCACAGAATCTGCTTATATTTTGGAAATCAACGAAAAGATCGAGATCAAGTAATATTCGAAAATACCAGAGTTCCAACTTTAAGATATTTCATAATCCTTCAATCCTACCTAACGAGATAAAGCAAATCTAGTTATTTTTCTTCCATTTATTGCCTTTTTTTTATTTAATCCGTTCATGAATAGGAAAAGATCTGGGAATAGATTGGAATAAAGCTCATGATAGCAGACTTATTTTGGGAGCTTACAAACACAACCTGGACTTAAATAAAATAGTGAAAGACAGTACACTTGGTTTCAAGGTAAACAAGAATATTTTTTATAAAGGAACTGATTTTTGCCACAAATTCTGATTTTCAAATCACTATATCTTTAATCTTAGTTATTTCAAACTATCATTATTTGATCTAAAATAATTCATAGTTTGAAATATCTAATGTCTCCGACATTTAAATGCAAAGATATAGGGATAAGAATTTCAGAGTTTGTGACAAAAACTCAATTCCTTTAATTAATATTAATAGAAAACAATACTTTTTTTTAATGTTTAGAATATAGCGGAGGATGTGGAAGGAGAGATAAAAGATGCATTTAGGGATAGATACGGATATATGCTGAATATGTTTATCTTTAAAGGAAACTAATTATTTAAATCTTATGATTATATTTTTTGTGTTTGAGAATTAACCCTTTCCCAGTTTTTTATCATTTCTCAAAATCAGCTCAAACTTCTTGACTTTTCTTATCCTATAAATGAGAATAGACAAATAAAAAAATCAGCGGTTAATTTTGATTGCATAGCCTTGACTTCCACAGAATGATCTTATTATTATAATAATTATTTCAACTTAAAAGCAGGTCAATATTTTTTGTTGAAATAATTTTTCTTTGCAAGGTTTTTTTTTGCTGAAACTGGATAAAATGAGCAAACTTTTGGGTGACGGGTATCTAAAAGAGTATTTATTAAAATCCAACTAATACAAAGTTTGACTCCATAATTTGAAAATTAAATTGTAGCAGTTGGATTTAAAATAGTTAGTTTTTCCAGGAAAGTACAACAAAGATATTGGGTTTGATGCAGGAAACCTTACCCCACCATCTTTACCAAATATACAGGTACTAGACTTTTAGGGCGCTTCGCGCCCATCACCTATTTCAACTTTTTATGGTGTTGTGTGAGCATCTTCTCCTTGTACAGTATAAAACAAAAACAAACAAAAAAAGTTTGCGGATTTATAATATTTTTTTGTGCATTTTCAAAATTTTACTAAAATAAAAACTTTTAAACGCAAATTTTTAAAATTTTGATCATTCATAAACCTTCCCTGGGGTTACGTGAGGTCCCACAAAAAATTTGGGCCCGATCGGTTCAGCCGTTCAGCCGTTTTGACGTTTATTGGATACAAACAAACAGACAGACAAGCCAAATTTATATATAGATTACTATTAGTTAGGTCAACTCAGGGCTTAGAATACGAATCCGTTGGATCCGCAAAAATTTTCAAACTCCATCCAAAACCTACAAAAAAAAATAGTTTTTCTCATAAAGCCCAAATCTCAACTAACGATAAATTATAAAACAAACTTCCTAACCTCTCACATGCCTATCAAGTTTGTGCATGAAATTAAGATAAAACTATATATATATATGTATATGGCAAAATTTTATTTTCTGAAAACTATCTGTAAATCTTAAGAAATGTTCATGGCCTGGATATGGAGCCGGATAAATATTTTTCTTGGTGGATACAGAATAGCATATCAAATTGTCTTGATATGTTACCAATATCAAATTGATCCCTAGCTATAGAACAAAGTTCTTCATTAAGTCCTGGGTCTTCCTTTAAGTGGTATCCTCGAAACTCAAAGATTTTATCCGGAAACGTGGACGTGTTTAGTATTTAAAGTTATTTATGTTCATTTTTTTTATTCCTTAACAGGATTTGCAACAAAAACCATATTTAGGAGGATGCTTTTGATACTGTAACTCTAGATGAAGAATCCCAAAAGGTATACATTTTAAGAGCAAGCTTTGTAATTTATTGGTATGCTATATTTAAGCAATAATACTATTTTTTATTTACTTATTATTATTTACTGTTTTAAGTGGATTGCAAGCTTAGTGCTTTAATGCCTGGGTTACCAGATACCACACTTAATCTAGATTAAGTGAATTTCAACATTTTTTAGCTCTTTGGAAGGCCTATGAGAAGAAATTTTGCACAGAATTTTTGCACAGACCCATTTATATTGAATTTGCACATTTTCATTAGAAGGCTTTTCAGTTCGAACCATAAGCACTGAAAAATTTAAGGTTGCCGATGATTCCGAATCTGATGTGGAGCTGGTGGACCTGGTAGACAGTGAAAGTGAGCAAATGGCCGAGGTAATATTTTTTAATGAGTTTTAAAGCTTACATAAGAGCAAATACTTTTTTATTTTGTTTTAGGAAGAGGACATTGATTCATTGATTGATGGCAACGGTCTGAAGTTAGATGAAAATTCTGATCGTGATGAAAAGAACGTCGCTGAGATTAAAACTTCAAAGAAGGTTGAAGAATTTATAACGAAGGAAACAGTTGTTACAGAAGTAAGTTCTGATAATATATCATTAGAACAGTCTAGAGATGTATCTAGTACTGTTGAAGATTTGGACGATTTCGATGTAAACAAGTCTTCAGAAGTAAAACCAGAAAAGGTAACAGAAGTAAAACCCGGTATTAGGCTGGTATCAGAACCTAAAATTAGAATAGAAACGGAACCTGATAATGTGCCCAAACCTGCACCTGTCACTGTACCAGAACCTGAACCTGTTTCTAATCTTGAAACTAAACCTGATAATTTACCAGAGCCTAAATCCACATCGGAAGCAGAATTGGAAACTGATTCAGAGCCAAAACCAATGCCAGAATCCGAACCTGCGCTAGTGACTGAACCTGAGCTGGAATATGAATCTGTCCTTGAACCTGAATCTACTCTAGAACCTGAATCTGTCCTTGAACCTAAATCTGTACTAGAGCCTGAACCTTCACCAGAAACTCACACAGATGCTGAACCAGGCGAAACAGAGCATACAAACGAGAAGCTCGTATCAGAATCTAAACTTGAAAGTGGAATAGTCCCCCCCGAACTTGAACCTGACTCCGCTATACAATATAAAATGGATGTAGAGAATGAGAAAAATGAATGTTCGCAATCTGGTGAAACAACTCCACCTAGAGGAACGAGGAAGAGAAAAAATAATACCGCCACTCCTAGGGATTCTGAAGATAATTTAGACGCGGGGGAAGAACATGTTGAGGAAGAGGGAGATCATTTGAAGGAAACTAAAACTCTAAGAGGAGGGAAGGGGAAAAATCGAGGAAGAAGTAGAGGTAGAGGTCGGGCGAAGAAACTTTGAATTAACAAGAAGCTTTGAACTAAATCGGTCATGTAATCACAGATCAATAATGTCTCAGAAATAACTGATCGTGTCTGAAACTTGTTTATTTACGTCTTATAGACATTATTGATGATTTAAATGGAAAGGTCAGATTAGTATTAATATGTTTTGTGTTTTTCTTCAGAAAAATGTGATGTTGAAAGTTTGATAAATTAACTGGCGGACGGGAACGTGAAGCAGTATGATTATTCTTGCATTAATATTTTTCTGCCTGTCTTCTTCTTTAGGAATCACGGACGATAGCAAAGGTAGTCATTTATCGACATGCAATGGAAATTGATAAAAAAAAATTTAAACTCGCAAATTTTTTTCTTAATTCTCTTAAAAAAGGACAGAAAGTGTTCAGTCTGTCTTAATTTCCCAACCCTTGAATACATGAATTATTCTCGGGGGGAAATTAGAATGAAAACAGTTGAATGAATCAATGATCCATTTTAGTTGCCCAATTAAAGGTCGTAATAAATTTTATTTTTAGTTGAAGTAGAAAAAGATGTAATAGTCCCGCCCCGGGCTGAACCACAGACCAGTGGACGTAGTAAAATAGCCCCACTTGGAGGAAAACATTCAATCAATGCAAAATGTGAACCGATAACTATAGAGCTGTGTACTAATATGGAGTACAACATGACAATAATGCCCAACTTACTAGGTACGATTAATTTTTAATAATTTTCATTTTCTTACTAAATTTTTATCGGAGCTTTAACACAAAAATGGTTGTTTGTTTTTGTTAAATCAACCTAACAAAAGGTTGCCCCGTTAAGTTAATACTTTGTTTATAATCTTGATTTGATTGGACACTGCACAGTTTATTTAATTTTTTTTCAGGTCATTCTAAACAGGAGGAAGCAGGAATGGAAGCTCGAGCATTCTTTCCTTTGGTAAAGGTCCAGTGCTCCAAACATCTCCATATTTTTCTATGTACAGTGTACGCTCCTGTCTGCACAATATTGGATGAGCCGCTTCCTCCTTGCAGGTATGGGATCATAAATATCCATTATTTCTCAATGTTCTTGCATCTTCATTTTTGTATGTATATTGGAACGATTAAAAAAACTTGCTTATATATAAATAAAAGCCAAATGTTGAGCCACATGGTAGCTTATTGGGATGTGATGGAAGTATTTCAATTCCTAGTTTTCTCGACTAAGATTTGTAAATCCAGATCCAACGCATACGTTTTTCTTCATGTTTTTCATACAGTTACACGGAAGCAAAGTTTTATAATTTTTCTAGTATACTAATTTTCTAATATGATTTCCCAATGATTGATCTGGTAGCCATACAGATTTGTATTGCAAGAACAACGGATTAAATGTAACCTGTTTTAATTTTTTGAGGGGGGGGGGTTTAGCCCCTTACCCCTCTATGTACGCCCCTGTACTGGAAGCAAATACAGTAAGTCATTCAGATAAAAGATTTCGTAATCAGGGTAGTTCAACCAATCTTATAATGTACAAAACCGAAAGAGACTGTGAGTGTAATTTCAAATGACCCCCTATTAAAAAAGAGGGACATTAACATTAACTACGGTATCCTTGGAAACTTCAAAATATGAAAGATAACGGCGCGTTTTTTGCTTGAAGTGTTTAATTCTGATAATTTCTCCATTATTTTGAAGCACGAAACGCAAAAGTCACCAAAGAAACCACAAAAAAAATTATCAGTATTTATTGAACAAAAACATGGAAATCTAATTCATATTTGATCATTTAAGAGTACCATTGTGAATCGGACAGACCAGATTATCAATATAGGGTCACTTGAAATTACGTCTTGTCATTTTAAGAGACCTATGTTGCAAGGAGAACTGATCTAATGTTTTTATTGTCAAAATTTGAACCGGAACCTATGCATTGATTACAAACTACAAATAAATTCTTATTAAACTAGGTATGCAATTCAAACAACAACCTATAGATCATTTTTTCTTTTCAATAATTCTTTAAATTTTAGGTCACTTTGCCGAGCTGCACAGAACGGATGCGAAGAACTTATGAACAAATTTGGGTTTAAATGGCCGGCAAACCTAGGTAAAAAAACAACAACAACAACGTCTTAATAATCTGTAATGAAAAAAAAACCAGATTAATGGGAAAAAAAATAAATGCAACCTATGGACGAGAATTCAAATTTGATTTTGCATTTAATAGTTTTGAATTTGATATAGACCACGCCAGTCTAAAAGTTTTAGTCCTCACTTAATAGAGATGAATTGATGTCAATTGATTAAGATTTTAGTTTCAGCAAAAATTAGATCCCCTGTTGATACTATCGGAAGTTTTTCTTTTAACATCTTTAAAATAGTTTATTAGGTCAATTTCTTACATTGCTGTATTCGTAACTATGTTCAGATTGTGATAAGTTCCCGCGAGACAGCAAGGAGAAACTTTGTGTGATGGGTGATACAGGAGACCTTCCGCTAGACTCCTATGATTCTGGATATAAACCTGCACCTACACGCTCTCCAGCCTACCTCCCTAACTATCCTGGAGCTGGAATGCAGTTTGTGTGTCCTGCACATCTTGAGGTTCCCTCGGAGCGGGAGTATAAACTGTATATAGGTATTTATTACAGATTACTAATTACAGATTGTTGTAATTATTTATTGACTTATGATTTTGAAGAATTTCCATTTCATTTTATTAAGTATGATATAAAAAGTAGTTTTTAAGTAAGTGTTGGCAAAAATTCAAGTGACCTTCTATGCAAAGATGGCAATAACCTATTTACAACCTTAATACGAGTCAAAAATCTGAAAGACAACGTCGTTTTTCTGACACGAAAAGTATTTAATTATTATCAATTTTCCATTTTTTCTTAAATAAGCAAGAACTATGCAAGTTGCTTTTGCAGAGAAACCACAAATGGAAATGAATAGTAAAATACATGGATATCTTATCCATACTTGACCAGCGCTTACCTGATTATATTCTCCATTCTTTAGGAATATTGGGCATTGCTATCTTTGCATGAAGGTTCCCTTTAAAATACACTTACGGTCCCTTTAAGTTTATAGTATATATAAATATTTAGGAGATCAAATGGTTGAAGATTGTGGAGCTCCTTGTTCTAAAATGTTCTTCACAGAAGAGCAGCAATGGTTCTCGAGGTAATTTATCAGAGAAACGTATTCTATACCCATATAAGTGTAAGAATATTCCCAAAGTTTAAAACATTAAAAATAACGAACCTATGAATAACCATTCAACATTCAGGCAAAATGACAAGTATTTTGTGATGTACTAAAAACAATTCGAATTTTCAGAGCATAAAAAAGGCAAAGTACAAATGTTTTCAAGACCACATGATAATAAGAATATCCATTTTCCATATCTCACTTTTTCTGATTTAAATGATAAAACCTTGACCTGCTCAGTGTTCAGTATTCATAAATATACAAGATAAGTTTTATACGTATTTAATATGCTAGATACTGGGTTGGTTGCTGGGCTTGTCTGTGTCTTGCATCAACTCTTTTTACGGTTCTCTCCTTTCTCGCAGACGTGTCAAGGTAGGTTACAAGACAATTTCATGTAGCGTTTCTCTCACACTTAACTTTTTTTAAACATCTTTTTCAAATGTAAATTTTCTTTAAATCCATCAAGATTTATCTTATAATTAATTAATTAGTTTTCTTGTTTAGGTTTGGATATCCTGAGCGCCCAATTATATACTTATCTGCATGTTTCGCCATGGTTGCCGTAGCATTTGTTATTGGTTTTGCTCTTGGGGACGAAATATCCTGTGACGAACAACCTGATTCGTCCCGGCCAAATCTGCTGAAAGAACGTACGATTCGGCAGGGATTCCTGCAAGATTGGAGATGTACAATTCTCTTTATGATCATTTACTTTTTCTTCATGGCAGGCAGTTTATGGTAAGTGAACAGTTCTTTATGGATCATCTTAATTTTTATTACTTCCATTTTTTTGCTAATGCTTTTTTTAAATTCTGTTTTTCAATGTTTATTAAGTAGTAATCTCTGTTTGTTTGTATTCCGATCATAACTTAGGAACCCCATGACCGATTTGTCTCAAAATTTGACTGGGAAACTCGGGAGAACCATGGGAATGAATGTTCTTAGCTTGGTTTTGAGATTCTTAGTTGAAAGGGTGGACTTTTATAGGGAAAATGATTAACCTGTCAAAGCTGGGTTCCCAAGCTAGTTTACATATATCATTATAAAATGTTTTCCTCAACCTAAATTTTGTTTCACCATTTTAACAAGAGAAATGGATGCTTTTCGTCAAACAGCCGTTAAGAAAGAGAAGCTGGAAATCTACTTAAAAATGGCAATCGTAGTCGTACAGCATTTCTGAAATTCATAAGCTAACCATCTTGAATTTCGAGACATCTTTAAAATTGGGTCATAACTTTTCATAAAAAAATGTCAAACTTTAATTTTATTTTCAGTCACTAAAAAATATATGTTTGCTCAGCCTTTGCTTTTTTTTACTAAATGTATTTCATTTTTAGGTGGGTAATGTTAACAATAGGATGGTTCCTCTCCGCATCACTCAAGTGGGGTCAGGAGGCAATAGATTCCCAGTCCCAGTGGTTCCATTTTGTAGCCTGGGGAGTACCTGCTATCATGACAATTGTTGTCCAGATAATACAGAAAGTAAGTATGAGAGTTTACTAAGGAAATAAGACCACATTTTCTGAATTTCCTTCGCCATTCTTGGTAATGATGTATCGACGTTTTCCCTCACATTAAACAATATCCAAACCATAGTTAAAATATCCTTGTTCGTTTTGTTAAAGTTTCGAACTAATTTGAACTCATATTAGGTTGAAGGGGATATTCTGACTGGAACCTGCTTTGTTGGTCTCTGGGACGTGTGGAGTATGCGTTGGCTCGTTCTCACTCCTCTAGTTATTTACATATCTATGGGATCTATTTTTCTACTTCTAGGTAATATTATTAGTACACCCCTGTGTTACCACATAATCACCATAACTCATGTTTTTTTAGGACTATTTTCTCTGATAAAGATTCGAACTGTGATGAAACAGGACGGAGGCAAGACTGATAAGTTGGAGAAATTGATTCTGAGGATAGGAGTGTTTTCTGTACTCTACACGGTCCCGGCTTGTATAATCATAGGTAGATTTAAGATGTTTTAGTAGCTGCATTACTCAATACTCATAGCTTTCTTATTCATTATAAACTTCTCATTGACAAGTTATAATTACATTTTGTTCAGCTTGTTTGTTCTACGAGCAGTACTATTTCTCCTCGTGGATGTTGCAGTGGCAGGATTCTATCTGCAGGTTATTTTTAGACAATAATCAGAGCTGGGCATCGTTATTATTCGTTTTCTTAGATATTCAAGAATCGGGATTTTTATTGTTTGGCCAAAATCTACAAAGTTTGACGAAATTCAGTTTTCTTCTATAAAAATATGCACAATTTTGAATCAGACAGAAGATAAAGCCGTAATGAAGCTAAATCAATTAATCAATTTGAAAATCGTCAAGGCAGCTTCTGACTGACAGAGAAAAAAAAATTCAAAGTGTCAGAAAAGCAACTTTTAGAGAATACAACAGCCAAAAGTCTTCAGAAAGCCTAAAAATCCTGAATTTTTAAAAAAACGGATAATAGCGATGTCCAACTCCAAATATAATTTCTCAGCCCTGATTATTGATTATTGATTTGATTTGAACAATTATTCATATTCCTAAAATAAAAAGTACAAATGTCAATAAATATTGTGTTTAGAGATCCCAAGTATCGCGCATGGCAAATTCCTTGTCCTCCGCGAACCGGAGACTTTTCTGCCGATATTCCTAGACCTGACTTCACTGTTTACATGATAAAGTATCTCATGATTCTTATCATCGGTATTTTCTCTGGAGTCTGGGTTTGGACCGAGAAAACTGTTCAAACATGGACAAACCTGTTCAGGTAAAACATCTAAACTGAGATCATATATTTCATACACAAAAAAGATAAATTATGGTTTAAAATAATTTCACAAATTATGTTTTAATTTATTCGAATTACTTAATTTCAGAAGACTGTTTGGATTAAATAGAGGCCAGGCTTATGTTTAACTCGTCCTTCTACGGACTGGAACAAGACAAGAGACCAACAGTCTCATTCACAGTAGGGTCGTCAGTTCCAGTCTTAATATTAATTGATTACCCTTATAGCTAATTTGTTCACCAAGTTCAAGTATCTTCATCTTGGGCTTAAAACGTTCTTAAGTATTTGTAAATGTTGTAATCTCACTTCCTTTTTGTTATTTGTAACTTACTACCAGTGTGTTTTTTGTTGTAGTAAACATGATTATATTTTTTTCATGATTTGAAAAATTATTTTTCACTAAGCCAATTCACAAATACTGTACAAAGAAAAGTTTTAGATTTCAAACGTAACTTTTAGCTTTAAACTTTAAGAGTAACAAAAAAGTTGTTGTTAAATCATGGAATTTTTAACTTCTCTCAAACGATTATTTGAACTTAATTTTAAGAGGCTTCAGAAAAAGAATCTTCATATTTCCATAACTTCTAATCAGTGTTATAGATTTAACAAAATTTGGGTCAACCAAACTTCCAAGATCAATATTAAGTTCTGTTTAAACAAATTCAAAGTGTAAACAGTAAACACTTTAAGAAAAAAAACTTAACAATTTTAAGAATTCATTGCTTAAAACTCCTAAATTTACTATTGAGTTCATAATTTCATTAAAATGTGATTGAAAATATCATTTCAGAATTATGTTTTTGCTCAGATATGGAAAAATCATTTGTTTTTATTTACTTAGTTTTTAATCGAATTTGAACTTCATTCCGTTTATTGTTCTACGTAAATTCAAAGCCCATAAAAACATAATATTCATAGATAAAAATAATTCGAGTTCAATCAACAAAGACGAAATACTCAGTTTGAGTACATGTGAATTTTTAAATTTTATTACATTTGTGCTTGCCAAATCAAGAATTTGTTAAAATATGTGAATTGCCGAATAAGATCATTTATCCATGAAGTTATTTTGTTTATTTTATATGCATTTGTTCTGATTTGATTTGATACTTATTTATAGTGGCATTCGGCGTTGGGAATTCTATTTTATTCGTTTTCAACATTAAAGTTTTTTGGCTTTCAGACAGCTCGAAAAAATCCTGCAAAGTCTTAAAATATGTATCACAAATGATTTATTCCGTTAGAAGTTAATTTTGTGAAATAAAAAGATGTAGGTCCATGCATCGGTGTTAACTTTTTGCATAGTTCTAGAAAATACATTTTTGAGTTATGGAAGCCAAAAAACTTGAATATAAAAACGGATCAAACGATATGTCCATTGTCCATTGTCCAAGACTAGCGGCACGAAATGTATATTTTATATAATGTTTTTGACACTGTAATTATTTTATTGTTTCTTGAAGTGTTATCACTCCCAAAACATATGGTGTAGAGTAATTTCCGGGATAAATTCAACGTTTTTATCTCTAATGTACGTTTAGCATCAGTGTTCACTGTTCATGTGTGACTGAGTATTTGTATCTTGTACAGTTGTATATTTAAAAAAAACCATGCAAAATCTGTTACTAATATGTAAATAAAATCTGTAGAATGTAAAAATTTCTATGTAATTAATAGTTCAAATAAAACTTTCTTCTTAAATGCATGAACTGATGAAGTAAAGATTGGGAAAAAATCCTTACGCAACTAAGAGTGACTCTCAAATCCAATCAGTCTGTTTACATCATTATAAAAGTTGTTAGAAAAAATACCTGGAAATAAAAACAATCTATAATATTCTGAAGTCCCGAGAAAATATGTTTCCTGTGACTTATTTCCTAAATTAGTATTGGGACTGCCAATTAAGTCGGAGGGACAAATATCACTGGAATTAAAGTCCTGAGAAAAATATATCCGAACAACAAGAAGTTTTGGGAAATTTTAACTCAGTTATTTAAGTCTGCAGAAAAAAAGTCCTAGGAAAGTTTTGTATAATCCATTGTTAAAGTGTACAATGTACAGAACTTTTTCAGAATAAAAATAAAGTCACAAAATTCTAGTCCACTGGGTGCACTCGGCAGAAGACCTTACTAAAAAATCGTCTAATTGTGAGATTTTTTTTAAAATTTTAAAAAGGTTTTTTGAAAGATGATTACAACAATGAAAAAAGTATTGTAATAGTATTACGGTATTCCAATTTTTCCCACTAAAGGGTTCTTGGGGCCTGGGACGCGGGGGTGAGGATGGTGTTCCCAGGATCCCGTAAATCTCAAAAGACTTTTTTTTCGAAAAATCTCAACATGATCTTAAAGTTTTTAATGGTACATAAACAATTTATATTAAAAGTCTATATTGTGATTAAGACTTCATAGTTTGTTTCTCTAAGTGTCACAAATTCCTAAACTTGCATAACTATTGGGGTTTATATATAGAAGGACAAAGGACCTCACTAGTCTCCTAGAGTTTGTAACAACTCTTGTAATAATAGAGATAAATGGTGCTAACTTTGCACCTATATTCCTTTAATCCATAAGGGACCGAAAAAAATTTCAATTTTTTTCTTGATCAGGGGCGTAGAAAGGGGGGATGTTTGGCCCAACACAGGTATTTAGATAAATAAATATTTTATTGCCCATGTATCATTATTGTTTTCAAAATTTTAGGTCTGACAGAATATTAGACCATGGCAAAAAAGCTAACAAGGACAGATTTAGCTTGCAGGAGGAGCCCTGTATGGGTCAGAGGCCAAAAAGCCAATAGTGAGGGGGCCGTTTGATCCACATCAGACTCCTGAAATTGAAGAAGAATCAGTGCCATTAATGCAAAATTAAATAAGGAAGGGCAAGTGAAATTATAAAAATATTTTATATTTTATTTTGAATTGATAAATAATAAATACTTCTTCATAGGCGTCAAGAGAAATAATATCACAAAACATCCTCCTCTTGGATTTCATTTGTCAAAAACTAAAGAAAATAATAATTTCAGATTATTTAAACCACACAATCCTTTAAGAAGCGTCTTCAATAGCTTAAAGATCCAAAATGAACCATTTTATCAAAAGGGGCGCCTAGAAATCCAATATCACTGAACACCCCCTCTTGGATTTCATTTGTCAGAAACTAAGAAAATAATTATTTCAGATTTTTAAAACCATACCATCCTTTAGGAAGTGTCTTCAATAGCCTAAAGATCCAAAATGAACCATTTTTATTGAAAGTGGCGCCTAGAAATCCAATATCGCTGAACACCCCCCCTCTTTGATTTCATATGTCAAAAACTAAGAAAATAATTATTTCAGATTTTTAAAACCATACCATCCTTTAGAAAGTGTCTACAATAGCTAAAAAATCCAAAATTAACCATTTCTATTGAAAGGGGCGCCTAGAAATCCACTATCATTGAACACCCCCCTCTTTGATTTCAGTTGTCAAAAACTAAGAAAATAATAATTTTAGATTGTTTTAAACCACAATCCTTTTTGAATGAACAAAACATGTTCAATTGAACTAAAGCTAAGAGTGTGGGTAAAATTGAAGTTGGTACAAATGAATATATTTTAGTACAAATGAACCAAAAAATGTTCAATCAAACTAAAATTTTTAATTTCACGATTTGTTTATAAGTCATAATTAGTGCAATTGAACTTATTTTAGAACAAATGAACAAAAAATGTTCAATCGAACATAAAATCTAGTATTTCACCATTTTGCCCATGAATTACAATTAGTGCAAATGAACATATTTTAGTGCAAATGAACAAAAAATGTTCAATCGAACTAAAATCTTAAATTTCACCATTTTGTCCATAAAAATTAAAGAATTAGTCTATTCATTTTTTGTTGGAAATGTTCAATTGCACAATTATTTTCAGAAAAAAAACATTAGTCCGTTTGAAAAATTTTTGTTGGACATGTTCATTTGCACTAACGTTAAATTGTACTAATACTTACAGAAAAAAAAATAATCCATTTTCGAGTAAATTTTATGTTTGGATATGTTCATTTGCACTAACGTTCAAGTGCACTAATATTCACAGAAAAAAAACACTATTCAGTTTGAACAATTTTTTTTCTTGGAATCATGGAATCATATTCAACTTATAAATTATTCGTTCTTGTATTTAAAAGTTCTTGTAAAACCGGAACTTTCTATGCATGTGGTCCAATGGGACATCAAAAAATTTCATTTGTTTTTAACTAACATTTTACTGAGGTCAGAAAGATTTACAGAACAATCATTTGCAATGGAAAATAAATTTCTGCCAAGAACTGTGTTAACGTCATTTTTGCATAAATTAGAAAGAAATCTAATGCAAAGCTTAGAACTTGCTTCAATAGTCTCATAGAAAACCACACATCTACTTTGTAACATAGTTTTTACATGTAAACATTGTGAAATACTTTCTTCAAACGTTTATAAAAAAAAACTTAAATCAATTTTGTTTACAAATTGGTTAATCAATAATCACATGAAAAACGTCTCTCCTCTCTGTACTTTCCCCTCTCAAAGGAATTGACTCTTTGCCACAAACTCTGATTTTCTAATCCCAATATCTTTGGAACCCAATGTCGTAAACCTTTGATATTTCAAACTTATATTTTTTGATCTAACAAAAGTCATAGTTTGAAATTTCAAAGGTTTACGACGGTGGAATCCGAAGATATAGGGATTAGAAAATCAGAGTTTGTTGCAAAGATTCAATTCCTTTACTATTCCATGTTCCTTTTCTGTGAGGGGGTCTGGCTTTTCACTATATACTTTTCGCTATGTACGGTATATACTTGTTCAAGAATAAATAATATTTCATATCTTAAATATCGACAACTCTGTAATCAGGGGCGGATACAGGGGGGTGGCGGGGGGACATTCGCCACCCCCTGACAGATTCAGGGAGGGGCGTAGCCCCTCCCTGAGATTTTGAGGCAAAAAATGTTCCCAATTTTATAAATCGAATGTGTTTTTCAATTTCAAGCTTTTTTTATTTAATGGAAATCTTGACTTTCTTTTCTTCAGTTTAATTTAAAAATCAACGAAAAGTAAATGTTATTGTTAACGATAAATTTAGAATTAGAAATTTGTAAGAAACTAGACTTAAGTTATAATATTGTTCATATCTAGTAATGTTCCTTAATCAATACTCATTTATCAAAATTGTAATATTGGTCCTAATTTTTATGCATTTAAGTATAACTAGTAATTTCTTTTTGTTTTTAAATTGCTAATGTTCTTATTATTGTTCCTGTTCCTAATACTGTGTCCGACCCAACTTAAATCCCTGTCCTAATCCAATATTTTTGTTCCTAATTCCTGAACAATCTTTTTATTGTTCCTAAATCCCTGTCCTAATCCATTATTTTTGTTCCTAATTCCTGAACAATCTTTTTATTGTTCCTAAATTCCTGTCCTAATCATTTATTTTTGTTCCTAATTCCTGAACAATCTTTCAATTGTTCCTAAATTCCTGTTCTAATCCGTTAATTTTGTTCCTTTCAGTTAAAAATCTAATTTTTTAGTCTTTAGTCATTAATTTTGACTCTTTTTGAGTCTTTTAAGTCAAAAAAAATTTTCGCATGCGGCACGATTTTTTGTTCCTATTTTTTTATTTTTTTTTTCCCAAAAAATCATGCCCCCCCCCCCCCTCACTTAAATCCTGTATCCGCCCCTGACTCTGTTACAGAAGACATATAATTTTAATATATTGAGCAGAAAACGTGACAGTAAAATTTGCATTTGTAAAGTACTTTTCGTTCATTACTATTAAATACTAGAGAAAAAACAAAATGAAAAATAAAAAAATAAAAAATAATGCAGATCCGTTTTTTATCTCTTTCTTTGAAGGGAATTGCAATTCAAAATCAATCT